AATTTACACTAGGGCTTGGCAATTATTTGAATTGAAATGGCAAATATGATTGAGCAAAGCTGCGATTTTTCATGCACATCATCTCAAGGAAGCACGGTGTGATTTATAGTAAATCTCCTCCGAAGGCCAGATGGCGCTCTTACAGAAACCCAGAAACCTGTCCAAATACACATGAAGAAACCCTAAATAAACAAAAGTTGTGTCCCAAATGAGACACTATCGGCTCTATTTTGACACTCCATGCGCAAAGCGCAGGGCGCAAACGCATTCAGGGCGTGTCAGAATCCACTTTGGCTAATATAAGGATGGAAAAATCCTCTTTGCGCATGATCTAAAAGGGTTGAGCTTATTTTATTAATGAGTTATAGGTGTGTTTTGAGAATAAACCAATCAGAGTCTCATCTCCCATTTCCTTTAAGAGCCAGTTGCGTCGTGCGTTAGCGCATTTGCTATTTACATGACGCATTTTGTAAGTGGAAAAACTGAACGCTTCACTAAGAGCATTCCAATAGATGCTGTTTTGCTGCAGGAGGGACTGGTCCTCCTCACAGTATAGATGGCATCATGAAGAAAGAACATTATGTAGAAATACTAAAATAACGAAACAGAACATGACCCTGAGCATACAGCCAATTTTGTTAAAATGTGCTTTAAGGACAACAGAGTGAATGTTTTGGAGTGGCCATCACAAAGCCCTGATCTCAATCCTATAGAAAATTTGAAAAAAAAATTTTTTAAAAGCTTGTGCGAGCAAGACAGCCAACAAATCTGACTCAGTTACACCAGTTCTGTCAGGAGGAATGGGCCAAAATTCCTGCAAACTATTGTGAGAAGCCTGTGGAAGGATACCCAAAACGTTTGACCAAAGTTACACAGTTTAAAAGCAAAGCAAAAAAAAAAAAAAACCCAAGGAAATGTATGCAAACTTTTGACTGTCTAGAAATTATTAAAAATTCACCCCCCCCCACCACCCCAAAAAAATCTCTCATTATTCTGGCATTTAGCAAATGTCAATCATTTAGGGAATCCTAACAGACCAAAAATAGTAAACGTTTAGTATGATTTACCACCAGACATTTAAAAAAAAATGGTTATGTTCCTTTTTTCAGAGTGTATGCAAACTTCTGGTTTCAACTGTATATAATAAAGTGTATTGAGTATAAATAATAACAGTGTGTGTGTGTGTGTTTGCAGAGAACGAGGAGACGGAGGGCAGCGAGGGTCAGGCCGAGTATCTGTTTGTAGACGCTGAATTAGATGATGATGAACTGTACAGCATGGAGCACGACAACCAACCAGGTCAGACAACACAACTACACTAAAACTCACAAGCGGAGCTGACTAGATTACTTATGAATTGGAATCAATTACTGATTAAAAAATCACAACACATAGTTCCACTTTTCATGTATGCAACTGAATTGGAAGTTGTAAAACAATCGTAAAAATGAGCACACTTCCACATCGCAGAATAAGGTCAATAGCATTATATTGCACAGCCCTAGAATATAGTATGTAAATAAAAAAAATAGAAACACAAGACTTGTGTGTGTCCAGCAGAGGAGTCGGAGTACCTGCTCCCCCAGGAGGCGTTTCCACTGCGGCATGAGATCATGGATCACCCGTCGGCCCCGGAGCCTCTGCAGGAAAAGCAGGAGTCTCCGCACGTGAGCGGCAGCGAGGCCGAGAGCATGTGTTTGACTCCCATGGAGTCCTTCAGTCTCATTTCCGTCTCGCAGCAGCTTTTCTCACCTCACCTGCCTCCCAAGTTCTTCTGCCCCATCGTGAAGGAGATGCTGTGCTATTACGCCGAGCAGGGAGACGTGCAGATGGCTGTTTCGGTGCTGATTGTGCTGGGAGACCGCATCCGCAAGGAGATCGACGAGCTCATGCAGGTCTGTGGGGGTTTGACCCTTTTTAAAGGTGAAATTAAAATAAACGTTGTAGATGTTTAGAAGATATAAAACTGATATAAACATCCATAGCTTGCTGTTAGTCACTTCTGCCTGAATAGATCAACAATTTTTTTGACGCCACTTCATACTTGGGTTTCTCATCAGATCTTCTTACCGACCCAGTGCTCTCTAGTGTCTGACATTCCATGCTCTGGTGTGTGTGTGTGTTTCAGGAGCACTGGTACATGTCCTACATCGACCTGCTGCAGCGTTTCGAGTTGTGGAACGTCAGCAATGAGGTGATCAAACTGAGCACGTGCGGCGCCATCATGTGCCTCAATCAAGCCTCCACCACTTTACACATCAACTGCAGCAACTGCAAACGGCCAATGAGCAACAAGGGCTGGATCTGTGACCGGTACGACCACCACTGCTTTTCCCTGTTCAATCTTTCTCAAGTTTAAGATCAAGCTATGAGTTTCAGTCCTTTATGTATATTACTTTATTTAAATGTAATTTAAAGCTGCTGTTTTTTTGGACGTTTTTAATAGTTATGCAAATTGTTCTGTTGTGTTGTAAAATACACAATTACTTACAAAATCTACTTTTTAGTTCAGTTAGTGGGCAGAGCAGCATTTCACATCAACTTTAGTTAAAAACTTAATTAATTCCAAAAGACAGAAACAACTACATACTAAAACTTCACTAAAACAAGAATATCTTAAGATCTAGGGATGAAATCAAGCTGAGGATATTTACCAAAATCAGTGGTAATAATATAATAATAACTGTGCAATAATAATGTGATATACAGATGAAACAAAAGTTTACATACACTGTATAAAAAGGCACATAACCATTAAAAAAAAGTCAGATGTTAACGTGACAACTTTTTAATTTTTCTGATCCAGTAAGTCAGTTGTTCTGGAAAATATAAACAGATGTTTCACTGTAATGTTAAGGTATACTTTCTATGTGAATTTATGTTTTGAGTTTTTACTGCAAATGTCACATCCATAATGCTGGAATTATTTATATATATATATATATATATATATATATATATATATATATATATATATATATATATATATATGTATATATAACAAAACAACTACATTCTTGCCTAAAAAAGCCTCAAAAGTACATTATTTTGTCTAACAGCTGCAATATTTGTGAAACTGTATGAGCTTATTGATCTGCTGTCACTCTATGTGGGCGGAGTAATACACAAGGGTGAAGAAGCTGTAGGAGTTTTGATTATTGCATGGCTGTCAGCCAATCAGATTCAAGAACCAAACATAACTGTTGTATAAATATATAAAACTGAGGAATAATATATATATATATATATATATATATATATATATATATATATATATATATATATATATATATATATATATATATATATACACAGGTGAAGTCAGAATTATAAGCCCCCTTTTTTTTTCTTTTTTTAATATTTCCCAAATGATGTTTAAAAGAACAAGGAAATTTTCACAGTATATCTGATAATATTTTTTTCTTCTGGAGAAAGTCTTATTTGTTTTATTTCGGCTAGAATTAAAGCAGTTTTTAATTTTTTAGAAACCAATTTTGGGACAAAATTATTAGCCCCTTTAAGCTATTTTTTTTTCGATAGTCTACAGAACAAACCATCGTTATACAATAACTTGACTAATTACCCTAACCTGCCTAGTTCACTTTATTAACCTAGTTAAGCCTTTAAATGTCACTTTAAGCTGTACAGAAGTGTCTTGAAAAATATCAACTAAAATATTATTTACTGTCATCATGACAAAGGTGAAATAAATCAGTAATTAGAAATAGGTTTCTAAAACTTTAATGCCTAGAAATGTGCTGAAACAATCTTCCTTTCATTAAACAGAAATTGGGGGAAAAAAAATAAATAGGGGCGATAATAAGTCAGGGGGGCTAATAATTTCAACTGTACATATATATATATATATATATATATATATATATATATATACACACACATATAATTTTTGAACCTCATGGTAAGTAAAATTTGTTACATTACTGTAATGAAGTTACATTTTTTAATGTTTACTGTAAATTTGCTGTCAACTGGAAAATAGCTAAAGTTTCCTAAATATTAAATGTGTGCATTATTTATAAATGTGTTTTCACTTTATTTATTTATTTATCTTGTTTGTGTGTGTGTGTTCACTGTTTCCAGGTGCCACCAGTGTGCGAGTGTGTGTGCGGTGTGTCATCACGTGGTCAAAGGTTTGTTTGTGTGGTGTCAGGGCTGCAGTCACGGAGGACACCTGGAGCACGTGATGGAGTGGCTCAAACAGTCCAAACACTGTCCTGCCGGCTGCGGACACCTGTGTGAATACACCTGACACACACAGAGAACTGCACAACTCACTCCAATCACGCTGCTACTCATGAGGGAAAACACACGCAACTAATGATCCGATGATAATCACACACTCTGTGGGAATCTGTTTGTACATATTGGAATGTGCGCTTCAATACAATCAGGTTTTATTTTTAGTTTTCGGAGATTTTGTTTTTATGTCTATTCATGAATGTGGCTGAGATGCACTTGGCTTCGTGAGTGATTCGTTCACATTAAAAAAAATACTCTGGTCAAACTGTATCAACGACACATTTGTTATTGCATTAAAATCAGATTTGTTTAAAAAAAAAAACATCACTTTAATCATTACTATTGGACACAACAAACCAAAATGTTTTTGGAGATAATCACCTACTGCACCTTTAAGTGTTTTAGTTGGTAATTATTGTGAATTGTAAGTTGCTGACACTCTTATTCCAGTATCTGGATGTACTTCCTATTGAAACGGAATATTGAGTAGGGGGCGGAGCTTTCTTTTGTGCATCGTTCCCTTATATAGCAAACTAACGGTACACTGTTAAAAATGCTGGGCTCCACACTATCGACTTGTGTTGGGACAACATGAAGGAATTAAGTTAACTTGTTAGTTTTTACATATTTAAGTGTGTTAAACATAAAACAATTCGATTAAAACTCGAGAATTGTGTTGTTTCAGCTCATTTTAAATAATAAGTTTGAACAAATAGAGTTTAATGTCTCATGAACGCACATTTCAAGATCAGCATTCAATAATAAAACATGAAAACGTAATGATTTAATTAATTTATAGACCTTAAAACTATTCCATGTACATATGCATCATAATAATAATAATATTTGATGACAAACGGGTTGATTAACATCAAAAAGGATCATTTTAAATTGATATACAGAGTATTTTACACATTTTGTAGACAGAAACCCCCTTTTAAATATAAAAACTGACGGTAGCTCCAGTTATACAACCATAACCCCAGAGGTTCAGCTCAGGTCACGTTCATGAAAACACCAGCAGAATTAAACCATAGACAGTATTTAAAGGGACAGTTCACCACAACAATGAAAATTGTCATTGTTTTCTCACACTTTACTTGCTTCAAACCTTTGAGTTTCATTTTTTCTGTTAGTATTTGTTTTTCCTACTATGGAGATCTTTAAGGGAGATCAAAAATATATATTTTAGTGTTTAACATAATAAAGAAACTCATAAATATTAGTAACCACTTGGGGGTTGAGTAAAGTTTCATTTTTGAATGAGCTATCCCTTTAAGAGAAGACAATTGATAGTTAAGATCATCTGAGGTTTGATTTTTGAATGAAAAAGCTATAAATAAGCATGTTTTTAAACACCAGAGGTTTGATCTGTTGCACAGCAATGAACAGTGTTTGTGCTTGCAGCGTCCATGTGTTTCTGGCACATTCAGCAGTTCTGGCTCCGCCCTGTCCAACACAGCTCCTGTGATTGGTCTGCATGTGTACCATGTGACTGTAGCATAGGCGAGAGATGCTCTTCGCTTGCTTGTCTTTTCTGGCCACCCTGCCGCCGTCTTCAGTCCATAATCTCCATCTGAACTCATTATGGACCGGCACGGATGCCTTTCTTTCTGGCCCGCTCATGCAGTGTTCAGGGTGGATTTTCACCCTCCGTCAGAAAAAAGAAATTGCCCTGCAACAACAAACAGATCAAATAGAAATAACATTTAATGTTTTTTTAATGATTTTGGTCCAGGATGGTCCAGGATGCTAGGTGGTTGTTAGGGAGGCTGGGTGATTTTTGGTGTTCTGGGTGTTTATTTAGGTGATTTGGGTGGTTGTTAGGGTGTTCTGGGTGGTTGTTAGGGTCTTTCGTGTGGTCTTTAGGGTGTTCTGGGTGGTCATTAAGGTATTCTGGACAGTTTTTAGGTGTTCTTGGTAGTTTTTAGGTGTTCTGGGCAGTTTTTAGGTGTTCTGGGTAGTTGTTATGGTGTTCTGGGCAGTTTTTAGGTGTTCTGGGTAGTTGTTATGGTGTTCTGGGCAGTTTTTAGGTGTTCTGGGTAGTTGTTATGGTGTTCTGGGCAGTTTTTAGGTGTTCTGGGTAGTTGTTATTGTGTTCTGGGCAGTTTTTAGGTGTTCTGGGTAGTTGTTATGGTGTTCTGGGCAGTTTTTAGGTGTTCTGGGTAGTTGTTATGGTGTTCTGGGCAGTTTTTGGGTGTTCTGGGTAGTTGTTATGGTGTTCTGGGCAGTTTTTAGGTGTTCTGGGTAGTTGTTATTGTGTTCTGGGCATTTTTTGGGTGTTCTGGGTAGTTGTTATGGTGTTCTGGGCGGTTTTTAGGTGTTCTGGGTAGTTGTTAGTGTGTTCTGGGCAGTTTTTGGGTGTTCTGGGTAGTTGTTATGGTGTTCTGGGCAGTTTTAGGTGTTCTGGGTAGTTGTTAGTGTGTTCTGGGCAGTTTTTGGGTGTTCTGGGTATTTGTTATGGTGTTCTGGGCAGTTTTTAGGTGTTCTGGGTAGTTGTTAGGGTGTTCTGGGCAGTTTTTAGGTGTTCTTTGTAGTTGTTAGGGTGTTCTGGGTAGTTGTTATGGTGTTCTGGGCAGTTATTAGGTGTTCTAGGTAGTTGTTATGGTGTTCTGGGCAGTTTTTAGGTGTTCTGGGTAGTTGTTAGGGTGTTCTGGCTGGCTGTTATGGTGTTTTGTGTGGTTGTTAGGAAGTTCTGGGTAGTTGGTAGGGTATTGTTGGCTGTTGTTAGGGTGTTCTGGACTGTTGTTAGGAGTTCTGGGTGGTTCTTAGGGAGTTTTGTGTGATTGTTAGGGTGTTCTGGGTGGTCATTACAGTGTTCTGGGCAGTTTTTAGGTGTTCTGGGTGGTTGTTAGGGTGTTTTATGTGGTTGTTAGGAAGTTCTGGGTGGTTATTAGTCTATTCTGGGTAGTTGGTAGGGTACTGTTGGCTGTTAGAATTTCTGGTTGGTTGTTAGGGTGATCTGTGCTGTTCTGGGTGGTTGTTAGGGGGTTTGTGTGATCGTAAGGGTGTTCTGGGTGGTCATTAGGGTGCTCTGGGCAGTTTTTAGGTGTTCTGGGTGGTTGTTAGGGTGTTTTGTATGGTTTTTTAGGAAGTTCTGGGTGGTTGTAGGGTGTTCTGGGTGGTTATTAGTTTATTCTGGGTGGTTGTTAGGGTGTTGTGGACTGTTTTTAAGGTGTTTTGGGTGCTTGTTAGGGTTAGGGTGTTCTGGGCTGTTGCTAGGAGTTCTGGGTGGTCATTAGGGTGTTCTGGGCAGGTATTAGGTGTTCTGGGTAGTTGTTAGGGGAGTGTTTTTGTGGTTGTTATAAAGTTTTGTGTGGTTGTCAGGGTATTTTATGTGGTTATTAGGAAGTTCTTTGTGGTTGTTGGGTGTTCAGTGTGGTTATTAGTCTTCTGGGTAGTTGGTAGAGTATTGTTACTGTTGGTAGGGTGTTCTTGGCTGGTGTTCTGGGTGGTTTTTAGGTAGTTTTGTGTGATTGTTAGGGTGTTCTGGGCAGTTTATTGGAGTTCTGGGCTGTTGTAAGGGTGTTCTAGGCTGTTGTTAGTAGTTCTGGTTGGTCGTTAGGGTATTTTGGGTAGTTTTTCTGAGTGGTTGTTTGGGAGTTCTGGTTTGTTATTATGGCGTTCTTGGTGGATGTTTGGGTGTTTCATTTGGTTGTTAGGAAGTTCTGGGTGATTTCTGGTGTTTTGCGTGGTTATTAAGGTGATTTGGTGCTCGTGAGGAAGTTTTGTATGGTTGTTAGGAAGTTCCGGGTGGTTGTTAGGGTGTTCTGGGTGATTATTAGGCTATTCTGGGTAGCTGTTAGGGTATTGTGGACTGTTTTTAAGGGGTTTTGGGTGCTTGTTGATGTGTCCTGGGCTGTTGTTAGGGGTTCAGGGTGGTTTTTAGAAAGTTTGGGGTGGTTATTAAGGTGTTCTGAGTGGTTAAGGAGTTCTGTGTAGTTAGTAGACTGTTCTGGCTGGATTTTATGGTGTTCTGTTTCTAAATGGTTGCCAGATGTCTCTTAAAGTGTTCAGAGTGGCTGCATTTAATACTGTAATATTGTGAAATGTAAGAGGGAATCTGACCTGTTCTTGGCTGCTAGGATTCTTCCCAGTTGTGTGAGTTTTTCTCTGAAGTGCACAGATGCTGGAGACTGTGACAGATTTCCTTCACACTTTCAGCTGCACACAGAAACGCAATATAAATTCACACATCAATCTGAATAGAACATTATAAACAAAAGCAGCAGCAGCAAGCTTCTTACCAAGATCTGCTATATGAGAGTCCATCTTAGTCAGGAGCTGAGAGCACATCAAACCGTCACCTACAACACGCATGCCAGAGCAAAGATTAATACAGGGTGACTGATCATTACATTAAACAGCTTAAAACACTTTATAGACCATGGATGTTTAGTTATTTTATAGTCCAGAGCTTATTGGAACACTCTCATTGGAAATAGGCTCATTTTACAAGTCTCCCTACAGTTAAACACTTGAGTTTTACCATTTTTAAATCCATTCAGCTGATCTTCAGGTCTGGCTGGAGAACTTTTAGCTTAGCTTAGCATAAATCATGGAGTCGGATTAGACCATTAGCATCTCACTCAAAAAAAAAAAAAATCTAAAAAGTTTTAAAACAAATTGTCCTATTTAAAGCTTGGCTCTTCTGTAGTTGGATCATGTTCTAAGAATTAAAATCTAAGAAAAATAATTTTCTAGCTGATATTTTTTGGAACTAGACTCTCATTCTGGCGTAATAATCAAGCAACATTGCTGCCGTACCCTGGTTGCAGCAGGTGCAATTGCATTAGTGCTGTTACCTAGCTGTGGACTATTTTCATGGGCTGTGTGATATCATTGTGCCTGTTTCAGCCATGGTACAGCAGCAAAGCTCCTTGATCATTACGCTTAATGGGATGCTACTGGTCTAATCCGATTCAATGATGTATGCTAAGCTAAGCTAAGCTGAAAGTGCTCCGCAAGACCCAGAGATCGGCTGAACGGATTCAAAACTCTAAGGTAATTGTAAAATAAATCCTAATTATGAAAAAAGTCAGTTTTGAGAGGTTGGTGGATGGTTGTTAGGGTGTCCTGAATGGTTGCTAGGCTGTTGTTGGATTATTCTGAGAGGTTGTAGGAATTTCAGATTTTTTTTTGCATTAGATACTAAATGTAAATTTTGTTAGGTTCTGCACACCTTTTCCCACAGATCGACCGTCATCCTGTGTGATCTGTTTGAGTTGTGTGTGCGTGTTCTGTAGAGTGTGTAGTTTTGCGTTCAGCGTCTGCATGCGTTTAGCGTTTTCCTTCAGTTCTGCCTGAACCCTTTTCCATGCCATCTTCTCCTCCATCAGGCATCCCTCCATCACAGCACGCAGCTCTTTCTCCTGGGTCACTTGACCCTGAAAAGACTCCACCTCCACGCAACGCTGGACACACACACACACACACACACACACACACACACACACACACACACACAGCAAATTAAAATGTTAAGCTCCTGTGAAGCGCTTTGAAATATAGGCATTGTTATTCGATCTTTGGCGTAATCTCAACCGAAACACAAAAAAGAGGGCAGGATTTAGTGTAGCTCCACCCCATTAAAAAATCCAATAGTGTTTTGTTTGATCAGCGCTCTGCCAGTGAGAATGATTGAGTTCAAGTGCAGAAAATGAAAAACGTCTTGAAGTGGGAGGGGCATGTCGGATACTAGAGAGCATTTGATTGGTCACTCAAACTGAAGTTTGAGTTGACATGAATAAAACCGTTAATCCATTTAGGCTACAGTGACAAACTGCAAGCCTTACATGTTTATTTCAGTTTTAGGTCACACTTTATTCTGATGGTCCGTTTGTTTAAATAAGTTACATTGCGTCTACATGCCAACTAGTTCTCATTAGATTATAAGTAGACTGTTGGGGTTAGGGTAAGTTGACATGTGCTTGCAAAGTTTCTTATGGTCAGTTAAATGTCTGTTCAGCAGCAGTATCAACAGATATTAAGCAGACAGTCTACTAATACTCAAATGGACCATCAAAATAAAGTGTTATCCAGTTTTGTATCTCTTAAATGCACACTAGATTATAGATATCGTAAAAACTAACGATACTGATACTAACATCCAGGGCTAATGTTGTTGTCGGCGAGATTAGGCATGGGCCGGTATAAGATTCTGACAGTATGATAACCTTGGATAAAAACATCACAGTATTGTGATCACTGCTATAAAATCTATTCTTTTTAAATGTCTGGGTAAAAAACTAAAACGTTTTTCCCTTTGAAAACAATATATATATATATTTTTTTTTTGAAAGATATATAATATTTTGGAGCAGTAAAGATGTTAGGCTAAATAATTCAAATGAATCATTGACATCTGCTGATGTGATGTGTGCGAGTGCTTAAAAGCTCCAGTTTCCTTGTGCAATTCAACCATGCCTGGAAACGCAACTGGTGCAATCGTTTCTTTTTGAAATAGACAAACGACTCTGTATAGTTTTAGATAAATGACAATAATTTTTAAAAATGAAATCTTTATTTAAAACAAACATTTTTGTTGAATAAAAAGTGTATATATATTGCTATATTTAGCTTGTTTTGACACATTATTTAAAATTTGTGACAAGGAAATAATTAGTTTGGTGTGGCCAGAGAAAACAACTGGTATTTGGTAATTGGTAATCCTTAGTGTTGAGCTCTAAAAAGTCATGTGAAATTTAAAAAAAGTTAGCGAGGAGGCATGTGGACATAACACAGAATTAAAAAATGTGTCATTTTTAGCATACCAACATAAAATTTATGCATATAAAATATATTTTCCCAACAACAAAATTGTGGCTAGCAAAAATGGCAGGTGGCTAGTAATGTTGGAAAACTACAAGCCACAGTGGTGGGTGATCAAAAGGGTTAATGTCAAGCCCTGCTAACATCTTTAAAAAAAAAGAGAGAGAGAATCACACAAAAACAAACGTGACGGTAAATTTATGGCAATGTTTGTGACAAATGTTGTTGCCAGAATAGCATTTTTTACAACCTCAATTTCTTGTATGGCAACCCTTGATCTCAACTTGTTTGTAATGGATTAATTTTATTGCATGTTGTTCGTTTTATTGAGATCTAATACTCAATCCAGTGGATATAAAGTTCAGTCATTTTTGTTAGGTGTGTGACTTTATTTGTACTACAACATGAAGACAGGGCGGGACATAGAGTAGCTCCTCCCCTTTATTAAAAAAAAACAGCCAATAGTGTTTTGTTTTTATCCCTGCTCTGCCAGTGAGAGTGGTTGAGCTCAAGCACATCAAATGCAAAGCAAATGAGAAGTGTCTTGAAGGGGCAGGGCATGTCAGATACTAGAGAGCATCTGATTGGTCAGATTTGATAAAGTATGACATCACATCAAAAATTCTGTTGAATTGATCCATTTTAGGAAATGACAATCTTCAAGATTTGGATGTTTATATATTTTTAATGCAAATGTTGTCAATGTTTTTAATCACACTAGCTTATAGATATACTTAAGACTAATATAGTGTTACTAACATCTAAAAAAAACTTGATTTGGAATTAACTGGGACTTTAATGATAGTTAAAAACCATATAAAAATACCGTAATAAGAAGCTATCCCTTAGCACACTACATTTTTAGGCATATTATTAGGCAATAAGTTGCTGGCTTAACTGAATGAATTTAAAAGCCAGTGATGTTCCTGATAAGAGTTTCTGTAATCTATATATTGAACAGAAATGATAGGTCTCACCTTATGAAGCTGAATGGCCATTTCCTGCATCTCAGCCTCCAGTTGGTCTGCATATGCCTGTTCTAATGCATCGCTGGGTGGCCGTGCGTTACTATGCCAACGAGCTATTGCTGATGTCATTCTCCTCTTAGGACCAAAGAGACTATAAAGTAAAAAAAAAAAAAAACTAGTCAATTTAAAAAAATCTTTAAAACAGCAGGGTTACCTGAGCCAAATGTCAAATTCCCAGACTAAAAAGCTGAATTTCCATAACCTAGAAGCAGCGAGCAGACAAACATAAAAATATTCTTGAGTTTCTTTAGTCACATCTGTTTAGTACACAGTGCTAAAGCCAAAAGCAAAGCTGGCTTTGAAGTTAGACTGAACTGCCTTTAATTCAAGCGGTTAATATTTCTAAAGCTTTAATACAGCATTGATTAATACATAAAATAATGATTCTTCTAGGATTTACAATAAATACTACTGCTACTGAATACAAAGTCAAAACTTAACAGTAGTTAGCTCACAGCCTAATCGGCTTTATTGAACAATTATGCCCCCATATGAATATGCTAATGACTATGCTAATGGCAAAACCCAACGAAAAAGCAATGACAAAATCAAGCAAAAAGAGAAACTTTGAACAGAATGTGAAATGGAGGTGCTCCTTTCGAAGGTAGACCGGAGAAAAGCGGTGTTATTTGCAAGTTTTTTCTCCGGAATTAACAACAAAAGAAAAAAAATCGAGTGGGAGATATTAGCTGATGCGTTTAACACAGTTGGGTCTGAACATCGCACTGAGTGCATTAAAAAAAGGAAATAGTGTGGTTTATATCTGTAAAATGTTGCAGTACCCTTAACAGTCTCAATGGCGCAACTCGTAAGACGCATATGATCATGTATTGACACGTTCGAGCATAAACTCGGCTCGAATCCAGCGTCTGATGAACTCTTTCTTTTTTCCCCCGCTACATATCAGATTTTGCCAACTATTTATCACGAGAAAGACAAGTAGGAATCATCAATAAGTTTGTGCATCATATTTTATTTGCACATTTATTGAATGGAAATGTTTCTGATTCACGCATGCAAATTCATCTTCAGATAGTGTCTTTATAGCAATGTGCGTGCGGTAGATCGCTCAGATTACATTGGGAAAACAGGCGACTGCTGCAAATTGTGCTTTAATGTTTAGCTGGTCAACTGTATGGTATGGAAACTTTATATACCTGCTGAACCCGTCTCATACAGCTGCCATTGCAACTCTCAGACACTTTGTAGAGAGGAATTTAACACAACTGCCTCTAGGAGTCGCCAATGGAAATAAAACAGACACGCACAAAAAATGTGCGTACGCCAGCCATAAAGCTGCCGTGAAGCTGCGCACATTCCCACGTTCAGTTCATTGTTAGTAAATCCAAACGTGACCGATTCTGAGCGTGAAACCTGGCGTACGCAAAGTTTTTGTGCGTACGCAGCGTTGATACATGAGGCCCCTGGTCTTTTAATGATTATTTGTGTAGCTTACACTGAATGCATTAATGCAGGTTAAACAAGTAGTGACAGAAAACACCTTTAATAACCTAAGAAACCCACCTCATCTCGAATAACCCACCACAACTTCTTCCGTTATCATTATATTTTACAGGAAAGCCTAATTGCTTTCAAACCTGTGATCTGAATGATGTAAGAGGCGATCTCTCTGCAATCATTACAAATTTAGGATTAAGTAAAAACAATTATTAATCCACAGGTCACGTGTGTTCCGAAACATGGATTGTGATCCGTACGAATCAAAGATCAACCAAGATCCGTTGGTTGATCTTTGATTCGTACGGTTTAAAAGTTAACTTTTAAACTTCAAAGATATTCAATTACCCCTGAAACACTTAAAACAACTGGATAAGTCTTAATTTGAGAGACGGATTACTGTTTTCACCTGATATTAACATCTCTTAAATGCCTCTCTTGTGATCCCTTCAGTGGTATAAAGGCATCAAATGTGTTGTCAACTGCCTTTAAAAGTGACAAAAAGTGTACAAGCTCCATTTTAGATCCTGTTTAGACCTGTATTGTAATGTCATCTACTTGTGATCAGGTTGATGCATCATAATATCAGGCCATAAACAGGACCTGTAAGTAGAGACTTACGTGATACCGATTTCCTTAAGGTCATTCTCGGTGAGCGTGAGAAAGATTCTCAGGTCGATGTCTTGCTCCTCCAGCAGAGGGAGATACTTACTGAACCCGATCTGCTCCAGGAACTCTGAGAGATCCTGCGGCACATACACAAACTCTATATTTATGCATTGCACTGGTATATTTGTGGCGAATAAATATCTTGTTCACTAAAGATGCTATGTTAATTTCCTTCCTTAAACATATCAAAACCTGTTGGCGCAATAGCCTAGTGGTTAGCGCGCCGACATATGGTGCAATAGCACGTCAGGGCATCGCAAGTTCGAATCTCGGCTCGAGGACATTTCCCTACCCCCTCTCGCACTTCGCTTCCTGTCTCAACACTGTCCTATATAATAAAAGCCAAAAAGACCAAAAATAAATATTTAAAATAAATAAATAAATATATATATATAAAATATTATATATATATATATATATATATATATATATATATATATATATATATATATATATATATATATATATATATATATATATATATATATCAATACGTTATGTTTGACCAAGCATTGCACAGAACTAAATTTAGTAGGGTTTTGTTTCTTTACAGGTGTTTTTCCTCGATATATAGATATTTTTTACCCTCAGATTCAAATAGTAAACCAAATATTGATTATATTAACTCCTAAAAAAAACATATATCAATGGAAATCTTATTTACTCAGTGTTCAGATGATGTAAAAATCTCAATTTTTAAAAATGTTGCCATATGACTTGTTTTGTGGTGCAGAGTCAGGTATATAGAAACACACATGCACACCTTTGGTCCAGTGTATGAAGGTGGAGGTCCAGAGGAAGACCGCACCTCTCTGTAACCTGCGCTGCCTCTGCTGTTATAAGGACTCCTGCTTTTGGAGTGCTGGAGTTTGTTAGATCGACGTGGACAGCTTCTCTTTGCTTGGTCAGAGTCCTGCAAACATGATTAAGATGTTGCTGTTACAAAAACCTGAATGACATTACATCAGGAATGAAAACAAATGTAGGGCGTGGCTTGATTTTGTCCCTTAATTGGAGGGTTGTGGCTTGCTACTGGTGGATCTCATGTGAGTGACAGGTTGGTCCTTACACTTCTAAAAAACAATTACAGAAGACTTGTGGATTGCTATTGGTGAATTTTTAGTGAGTGACAGGTTGATCCCGCCCTCACACTTGTAAACACCAATCAGAGAAGACTTGTGGCTTGCTATTGGTAGTTGTCATAAGAGTGACAGGTTGGTCCCGCCCTCACACTTGTAATCACCAATCAGAGAAGACTTGTGGATTGCTATTGGTGAATTTTTAGTGAGTGACAGGTTGATCCCGCCCTCACACTTGTAAACACCAATCAGAGAAGACTTGTGGCTTGCTATTGGTAGTTGTCATAAGAGTGACAGGTTGATCCCGCCCTCACACTTGTAAACACCAATCAGAGAAGACTTGTGGCTTGCTATTGGTAGTTGTCATAAGAGTGACAGGTTGGTCCCGCCCTCACACTTGTAATCACCAATCAGAGAAGACTTGTGGCTTGCTATTGGAGGATCTCATGTTAGTGACATGTTGGTCCCGCCCTCACATTTTTAAAAAACAATCACAGATGAGTTGTTGCTTGCTATTTGTGGATCTCATGTTGGTGACAAGTTGATCCCGCCCTCACACTTCCAAAAAAAACAATCGCAGAAGAGTTGTGGCTTGCTATTGGTGGATCTCATGTGAGTGACAGGTTGGTCCCGCCCTCACACTTGTAAACACCAATCAGAGAAGACTTGTGGCTTGCTATTGGTAGTTCTCATAAGAGTGACAGGTTGGTCCCGCCCTCACACTTGTAATCACCAATCAGAGAAGACTTGTGGCTTGCTATTGGAGGATCTCATGTTAGTGACATGTTGGTCCCGCCCTCACATTTTTAAAAACCAATCACAGATGAGTTGTTGCTTGCTATTTGTGGATCTCATGTTGGTGACCAGTTGATCCCGCCCTCACACTTCCAAAAAAAACAATCGCAGAAGAGTTGTGGCTTGCTATTGGTGGATCTCATGTGAGTGACAGGTTGATCCCGCCCTCACACTTCCAAAAAAAACAATCGCAGAAGAGTTGTGGCTTGCTATTGGTGAATCTCATGTGAGCGACAGGTTGATCCCGCCCTCACACTTATAAAAACCAATCACAGATGAGTTGTTGCTTGCTATTGGTGGATTTCATGTGAGTGACAGTTTGATCCCGCCCTCACACTTGTAAACACCAATCAGAAGAGTTGTGGCTTGCCATTGGTAGATGTCATGTGAGTGACAGGTTGGTCCCGCCCTCACACTTCTAAAAAACAATTACAGAAGAGTTGTGGATTGCTATTGGTGGATCTCATGTGAGTGACAGGTTGGTCCAGCCCTCATACTTGTAAACACCAATCAGAGAAGAGTTGTGGCTTGCTATTGGAGGATCAAATGTGAGTGCCAGGTTGATCTCGCTCTCCAACTTGTAAACACCAATCAGAAAAGACTTGTGGCTTGCTATTGGTGGATCTCATATTAGTGACATGTTGGTCTTGCCCTCACACTTCATAAAACCAATCACAGAAGAGTTGTTTCTTGCTATTTGTGGATCTCATGTTGGTGACAAGTTGATCCCACCCTCACACTTCCAAAAAACAATCAGAGAATACATGTGGTTGAAAAAGGATAACTGTTGTCTACACAAAAACGCAGTATCAGGTGACTGAAAATGATTTTCAGAAGCTCCGATTACAGTTTGGTTGTGGGTTTTGTTCTCATATCATTAGTATGCGTGCTGTTTTCTCCTTTCTGATTGGTTAACAGGACTTGCTTGGTCCACACCAAATGTGGAAGGCGCGATTGAGGCAAATTACAATAATCTGCCTGTTTTTCTCAGGTTTGCATTGACATGTATGCAATTTACTCATCAAACACTAAATAAATATTGTGTTTGGTGTGATCTCAGCATAAATGGCTTTTATCGCCGCCTGTTGGTTCGGAGTGCCTTGACATGCATCATAGTGTGTTTTTGTGTTTTCATGTGTACTGAGATCATCTTCTTAAAAACACAGGCAGGGTAAAGTCAGTGAAGCTTGATGGTCTAGACCTCATTGCTTTCCAGCGACGCTTCCCTGCTTAGCCCAAGCAGATGTGACAAACTTTCACTGCTGCTGCTGCTGCTCTTCAGCGTGGGCATGTCGTTATCGAAAAACAGCTCATCTGTGTACATGAGGGAAACAGAAGCACATAATCAGTCTTCTAACTGGTAAGAAGAGCCTCATCCTTGCTGAAGCAATCACCTCTACTGCTGTTGCTCTGTCCGTCCAGCTCATTGATGGGGGAAGTGACGTCACGATTGCAGATTCCCTCGCTCTGATCTCCAACATCGCGGAAGGTCACGTATCCTGGAGGAGCTGCAGGAACTTCTGCAATTAAAGTTCCAGTGAAATTAGATGTTAGCATCAGTATGTTAGCTTTAAGTATATCTATAAGCTAGCATGCTTCAAAACAGTGACCAGATATAAACCTGATATAAACATCCAAAGCTTGCAGTTTCACTTCCGCCTTAATGTTTTTTTCTGGCATCACCTCATACTTTCTCATCGAATCTTCTGACCAATCAAATGCTTTTTAGTATCTGACATGCCCCGCCCCCTTTCAAGACACTTCTCATTTGCTTATTATTTGATGCGCTTGAGCTCAAGTACTGTCTCTGGAGGAGTTGTGATTAAAACAAACCCTATTGGCTGATTTAAAAAAGGGGAGGGGCTATAATATGCCCCACCTTGTCTTCATGTTTCAGTTGAGATTATGTAAAACATCGAATTAGCATAAACCAATCTAATGCATTTATAAAATTGACCTTGTTTGCTCCAGTATTTACCGTGTTTGGATCCGACTCTGAATCGTGCGATAGCCTGTGGGCCATCGTGAATGCTGGGTCCTCTGGTTCTGCTGTGAGCTGAACGGACTCTAGGACTTGGGTTTTCTTCTTCAGACGAGCTCAGCTCCTCATACATAGCTACACACAGACATCAGCTTGAGTTATTCTCTGCAGGCAGGACTAAAAGGGGAAAACGACAAACACTAAAGTGTGCAGCGACTGACATGATTTGGCTCTTATGACGTGCATGTCGATGAGGCTGGCGATTTTGATGTGTCCGTACATCATAGCCAGAGCTCTCGCCGTTTCTCCCTTCATGTTTCGGTCCTTTGTTCGCGCGCCCTGAATCATACACACAATCAAAATGACTGATAATACTGTTCACCTGACTATTCCCTGATCAGCGTTACTTTCCGCTTGTTAAGTGGTGACGTGTTGGTGACGTATGTAATACTGTTTCCGCGTCCAAGCTGCGACTCATTTGAGTTAAGAAAATATTTGTTTATGATCACTTTTTATTCCTATCACACATTAAAGTTAATTTTATATAAAATCATAGTGTACACAACAATCTCTGGGCTTGCTGCATCACAAATACCAAAATTTTTACAATTTATAAAAAAATAATGACTTTCTGGCCATCGGATATTAGGCATGGACATATATATTGCGATCGTGATTTTCGAAAGTGTTACATCGCTTTGTAAATGTTTATTATTATCATTTCTCGAGTCTCTCCATACAGTTTGATAGAGCTATTGGACCCGGAAGCCGCTTCGCGTGACGTCACACTTAACAAGCGGTTAGCCAAAGAAAACCATAATTTTTCTTTCTTGCTCGACTAAAATAAAAAAATACTATAAATAGAACAAAATACCCAAAGATAAAATATGTCAAAATTAAAACTATACAGATATATTTAATAAAAATAACAATAACAATAATGTTGTACTAATGTTAATGTTAAAATGCAATATATTTAGACAAGGCAAGTTTATTTATATAGCACATTTCTTACACAGTGGCAATTCAAAGTGCTTTACATAAACAAGAATACAAAAGACAAGTAGAAGACAATAAAAACAAACAATAAAATGATTAAAAACAGATCAAAACAGATTAAAATGTGTTAAAACAGGTTATAAAAGAATTTTAAAAAAAAAGAAAAGAAAGAAAATAGTGGGATCTGTCGGACGTAGCACAGTGCTCATTCAGTAAAGGCACAGCTAAACAGATGTGTTTTCAGTCTTGATTTGAATGTGCCTAATGTTGGAGCACATCTGATCATTTTGGAAGCTGATTCCAGCAGCAGGGGGCGCTGTTAGTAGTTTAAAGCTGATTCACCCTGCTTTGACTGGACTCTTGTAATTTCTAGTTTATTTGATCCTATAAATCTGAGTGATCTGTTGGGTTTGTATTCATTCAGCATATCTGTAATTTATTGAGGTCCTAGGCCATTTAGTGATTTTTAGACAAGTAATAATACTTTAAAATCTATTCTGAATGTAACTGGGAGCCAGTGTAAAGACCTGAGGACAGGTGTATTGTTTTACATAAACAATATTGATATAAACAAAGTGCCATTTCTTTGATAAGGTAATAACATTGAAATTCAGTTGATGATCTTGTATTAAATAATATGATGCAAAATAAAATTAAAAATGTGGTCTTATTTAAATTTCACCCCCAAAAATATGGCTTTTTTACCCTTTATTGGGTGAGGAACTGTATATGGTAACTTCAACTAATTGTGACTACAGATAATTTATTTGAAGCTTTTAATTTGTTGTTTGACAAAAAAAAACAACTTATTTTCTCATTGCTCGACTAACTAAAAAAACTAAAATGTATAAACTATATAGATATATTTAACAAAAATGTCAATAGTGATAATGTTAGTGATAGTATGAAGTAAAGTCACACTTGCATGGCTGAGCAGGTACTGGACGATGATTTCATGACCGGACGCTGCGGCTTCCATGAGCGGTGTGAATCCTGACAGTGGCTCCCTGTGATGTCAAAGAGAGGTCAATCAAGGTCATGGTCACACTGGCATTTATTACACACTGTAAACTGTGATGATCATGATATCGTTTTTATATCAGAACTTGAAGGTCAGTGTCTCAAGTGTGTCTTTATTCCATTTATGAGGAAAATTTGTTTATTGTGTTAAAGGAAGAGTTTAGCTAAAAATGAAAGTCATCATTATGTCCTCCTCCATTAGTTTAAAACCTGTTTGAGTTTCTTTCATCTGTTAAACATAAAAGTAGATATTTTGAAGAATGCTGGAAAAAAAACAGCCATTGACTGTTCTATAGTATTCTTTGTTCCTACTACGGATATCAATGGTTGCTTTTTTTTCCTCAAAAATTCTTCAAAATATCTTATTTTGTGTTGAACAGATAAAAGAAATTCATAAAAGTTTAGAACTAAATATTAAATTTATGGCAGTGAACTGTCCCTTTAAGTAAGCAATTATAAAAATAAAAATAATCGTCAATTATTCCGAACATATCACAGGTGTCTATTCCCTGTTTTACTTCAAAATATAGTGGCTCGGTTTTGTTTAAAATGAAGTATCATTAGTTTGTTCTTAGATTAATTCACCTACCTTTTTGCTCCTAATGAAATTACTGATATGTGAGCCTGCATCCCAAAACTCCAAATCCCAAAAGTTGCATAGATACACATGTAGAAATAGCCAAAAATGCACTGCATTATTCAGAATTTATGCCAAAAATCATTCGAATATTAAGTAAAGATCATGATCCAAGAAGACATTTAGTAAATTTCCCACCATAAATGTATCAAAACTCAACATTTTATCAACCAATTATATCTCAGCTAAATATTACTGCCAACAAACCAAACATTAACAGAACAATTTTTTTATTCCTCTCATTTTCAAAAATTACAGTTTTGTGCTCCAGGGTCACATATAAGCTTTGCTGTCTATATATCCAATCCAGGCTCATACTGAAAACGTACCCCTATATACATTTCTGGAGAGTGCCAAATACGTCCCAGGAGCTACGTTTTTTTTTTTTTTGCAGTTTTTGTTTTCGCGAATCCACCAGAGGCTGCTGTGTATGCCTCTTTTGAGAGCTCAAATTTTTCTCACGAGTGCTATTTGTGTCTGCTCTTCTTGCGTAAATTCACCAGAGGCCACTGTCAACTGACTGACCCACCCTCCTCCTTCCCTAAACCCAACCGATAGTGTTTGCAAAAGCAATTATTCACCCGCTCACCCACTTCACTTAACCCAACCGATAGTGTTGTAATCCAGAAAAAGAAAAGCCGTTGTGGCCGCCTGATTTTTACAACGTTTTCAGATTTGATTACATTCTCACCATGTTAATTAATTGTTTATTTTATATTTTAGGCTTCTGTTTTTGTCTTACCTCCTTTCTGGAACTCGTCTTCACCGAACTCGAACCCAGTTGTCACGGTCAACTCCGCTCCACGTTACGATGTACGCGGCAAGCCACTGAGCAAACGTAACATCGTCCATATGAAGGTAAGCGGTCAGCTACTAAGCGTGAAAACTAACGGCGCCATTCCACCCCGTAGCATTCGTTTTAAAGACGAACTACAGCCATATGTACCTCTGGTTACTTAATTCATGCTCTACAGAAATTTTTATAGGGCTACGATTTAAGAATGAGCCTATGTTGAATATATCAGGGCTTTCGAGGGGAATTCAAGAGTTTTTGTGAAAGGAACATTATGTTTGAGTGAAGCTTTGTATAATGTATGCAAATGCTCCTCACTTGACATTTGCATTGGCGTGATGCTCTAATAGGAATTTGACCATCTGCTGATGTCCGGTAGCTGTGCTGTACAACAGAGCCGTCCATCCACGCACATCTTTACACTCCAGCTGTGCTCCTTTCTGTATAGAGAGAGAGTGTTTTACACAGCAGATACGGCAGGTAAAAAAGTATTGAATGCGTCACAATTGTCTCAGAAATCTTCTTTCTAAAGCTGATGTTGACTTGAAATTGTCTCCACTTTGATTGTTAATGACATCTGATCGATACAATAAAACAAGATTATTTCGTTTAGAAATGAGGTTTAGAAATGACGCAGAAAAAAGGTATTGAACACATGAAGAAAGGAAGGTGTAAAAAGGCATGGAAAGCCCAGACAGCAGCTGAAATCTCTCAGTACGTATTCAGCAACCCTCGGCCCTCCATCAGTGTAAATGAATATCAGCTGCTTTAGTCTTAACACCTACATTACCAGATGAAGAAGAAACCTGAGTGGAGATTTTAGCAAGACAATGATCCCAAACATGGACAAGGAAACTCTCGATTGGTTTCAGAAAAGAAAACTGCTAAGATGACTCAGCCAATCACCGAGCTGAAACAGAAACTTGTTAAACTCGTCAAAATAGTAAAGTCTACACAAACCGGAAGCTACAACTGTTTTTTTTCTTTATGTGACGCAGTTCCTAGAGAAACGAAATATAAATGAGAAAACAGTGGGCGTGGCTTGTTTTTTTCTACTGTGAGCTGATTGGATGTGGTAAATTAGGCGTTTCATTCAGAAATATCAGGATTTGGGCACAGTTATTACAATCTAACTGACTCATCCTCCTCACTATTACTGTTTGTTGACGGAACTGACAGCTGGAGGGGCGTGGTTAAGTATGTTAGCCACGCCCAATACCTCAGACAGACCTAATCTGAGAATTTAACTGAAAACAAAACATTAAGGGCATTATCAATTTTAGATTAAGAGCAAACCATTTTTTTCTTCTCAATGACGTGCACAGATCAATTGTTCACCAGAGCAATGTGAGTCAACTTTAACAAATGAGTGTGTGCGAGACCTGCAAGAGGAAGTGAGCAATGCTCTCGTTCCCGCAGCTGGCGGCGAGCATCAGTGGCGTCAGGCCTTTCGATGTGGTGGCGTTGACGTTAACGCCAGTCTCTAGCAGCAGGTTAGCGATGTTATCATGACCGATGTAAGCAGCGTACATCAGAGGAGTCCAGCCACCAATGTTCTGACCATCCAAATCCACATCTCCCCTGAAACAACATGCAGATCATAATGGAGGATCGGAAAAATAATGTCTAAAAACTGCTGTTACAGTATCTCTGTGTCTGTCTGCCTATCCATAATTCAGTCTGCATCTGTACATCTATCTATCTATCTATCTATCTATCTATCTATCTATCTATCTATCTATCTATCTATCTATCTGATGTTTTTTCTTACTGTCCACCCATATATTGGTCTATCATTCAGTCTGTTCATTTATCTGTCTGTCTATCTAGCCATCATTTTCCTGTCTGCATCTGTCCATCCATCTATTCATTTTATGTTCTGTCTATCTGTCCATCCATTTATTGGTCTATCTGTTTTGTCTGTTCATCTATCTATCTATCTATCTATCTATCTATCTATCTGTCTGTAGTGTGAGGCACATAATTCTTTATATCTTCAAGCAGACTGGACGTGTCATGTTCTGTACATCTGGCTGGTATCATGAGTAACTGGTTAAGCAGCAGCCCCCCCCCCCCCCCATCTCACCTGCGGATACACTCGGAAACCACATCATACTGTCCGATGGAGCAGGCGGTGTGAAGATCCAGCGGAACATTCAGCTCCTCCGGGCTGATCAGAGCACCTGCGCCTCCGGCCAGCCACACGGACAGACTCGCGCCCAGCTGATCCGACTCACTGCTGGCCTCATCACTGAGCTCAGACATCCTCCTCTGGAAATCAGGTTTAAAACAAACACTTCTGTACAATAATATTTATTTTAAGACAACATTTAAAGTCAGAAATGGAAACAAATTAACTATCTATTTATCTGTCTGTCTTTCTATCTATCTATCTGGGGTAGTTAATATCTATCTATCTATCTATCTATCTATCTATCTATCTATCTATCTATCTATCTATCTAGGCTAGTTAATATCTATCTATCTATCTAGGCTAGTTAATATCTATCTATCTATCTAGGCTAGTTAATATCTATCTATCTATCTATCTATCTATCTATCTATCTATCAAAGCTAAGTAAACTAAAACTAACACTTGTGTACAATATTTTCTTTAGCTCTATATTGAAAGTTAGAAAACAAAACTTTCTATCTATCCATTTCTAAGACTATTATAATACAATTAAGTGTAATACTATAAAATATGCTATCTATCTATCTATCAAAACTAAGTAAACTAAAACTTATTTACAATAATATTTACTTTAGTTCAATATTGAAAGTTAAAAAACAAAACAACCTATCTATCTCTAAAACTCTACTATTATTATACAATTAAGTGTAATACCATAAAATATGCTATCTGTTATAATTCTGTACACAAGCAATTTTAATATAAAACAATAATATATTTGATCCCTGACCAAAAATGCAGTTTATTCAGTGAAATATATATTCCGTTACTTCTTCTCAGACATTAAACGCTATGTTAATAGGTTATTGTTCATCACCAGATCAAGTTAAATGTTATCTCACACTCTTATCCATATTTGCATTGATAAAACCGGCATTGTGATAACTGAACATTTATAACTTAGTTACACCAAGTTATAACTTACGTAAACTCTGAAAATCGAGATGACAACATTCGCAATATTTAAACACGTAAGCGCATAACTCGGCAACAAAATAAATACCTGATAAATAAAAGCGTACAAACCTTGAGTTATATCCGAACTAGTAAATATTATGTTTTGTTCAGAAATTGCAGCGGCAACTTAAAGGAAGTTTGTGCTCCAGCCGGGGCGTGTTGTTGTATGGATACTGGAAGTTGTAGTCTTTTGTTACATATAGTCATGTATTGTATCAACGGAGAATGTAATATGTAGGACTACATATCCCATGAGCATCTGCTACAGTACGTGCAATGACTGTAAAAAATACGTGCCTGACGACATCAAACAGCAACACGTTTGTTGATAAACTGCACAAGTTAACACGTAATTAGCTGTATGAAAATAAAAAGAAAGATTATCACATACTTAAATAAACTGCACGTAAATTAATGGTTAAACAGAAGCTGTAATATAAGCATTTTAAACACGTTACCATGACTACACAAATACATCGGCAATAACGCGTTTAGTACAACCAAGTAAATAAACAGCATTCAATCTATTTGATCAGTAAAATGCAAAGAGGAACCAGCAAAAATGGCTTTATAAATATTTTAATGACAGAATATTGCTGACTGATGTTTCTGTTCAGTCACAAGTCAAAGTTAAAACAAAACTCATCATGCGTTTTGGTGAAAACAAAGGGTTTTGTGTCTTCAGTCTTTGTGTGTTCATTTGTCTCCTGGGAACTTTGCATCTCCTGAGATCCATCTGTTTTGTTTTTGGGCTGTGTGTTCCTCTCCGCTCGCCGATGAAACACTGGTTTGCACTCAGACACTGTGGTGACCCGGGCAGAAGTCATTGCTGTAGAGAAAAGGGTAGAACATTTATATCACACAGTCAAAATACAGAACATAACAAATTTCTCAATAGAAACTTATTAATACCAAGTTTACAGTGCTCCGCGTTTGAGTTCACCCCTCACAAATCTCTTTTAAACTAATATTTTTTGTAGGATGCTTGAGTATATTCATGCATATACATTAGATTCGTCAGTACCGAAGACAAATCTGGAGCTTATCTAACAAAATAACGTATGGTATCGGTCCAATAACTTAGTAGCCCGAATTTATATGTTAGGGAAAAATATTAAATAAAAAAAAGAGCAAAAAATGTGATACGTTTTGTTGAAGTAGTTGGTATATATTCTTTTTGCAATATTTTGCATGAATTTAAATGTATTTTATTTTTATTTCTCTAGTTCAGTGACTAAAATATTATTGTAATAAATATATCTGTTTATTAAGTCAGTTTTGTTCACATGCACCAAAACAGGGTTTCTGCTAGGTGTTAAAATGTCCTAAATCTCAAAATCCAAATTTTAGCCCTTAAAAACTCTTAAATTTACTAAAGTATTGTGTTGCAGGTCTTAAATATTTTTTAAACAGGTCTTAATTTTTGTTTGTTCATGTATTGCTACCCAATCTAATCAAAACCCATACAATCATCCACAATTCATCTAAAAAAAAAAAAAAAACTTTAAACTTTTATTTAAAAGGGTAATTTTTAACTCTTTATCATACAAGTTTAATTGTTTTCCTTACAATAACATTTGTTTTTAAAACTTTCAAAACATTTTTTAATTTTTTATTTTTATAAATAAAAAAATTTTATGTTGGAAAAAAGTGTATGGATACAAGTAGAGCTTGCTTGTTTTTTACACAATATTTAAAATATTTTGCTTAGAAATAAAATTTAAAATATATATATTTTTTATTATTAATGTATTATTGTATTATTAAATGTATTAAATTAGAAAAAAATTGATAAGGCAAATAAAAATCTTTTCCAACTGAGCTATTTGAAAAGGTCCTTAGCCTTTAGCCATTTGAGTCTAAAATGTCATTTATAATGGACTTAAAAATGTTTTTAAAAAGTCTTTAATTTAACTCTGTGAAACTTGCAGAAACATTACAAAATATAGGACCTTTATTTACTGAGAAATGAATAAAAATATTAAACATGGGCTGTACTCAATTATGCTGAGCACTGCAAGAACCCAGTGTTTGCATTCATTTAAAGTCCTCATAAAATCAGAATGTACAAGGTTTATTTTATTAACTCACACAATTACTTATAAGGTGAATAAATAATGTGTGCAAGTTAATCCGATGAGAAAAAGTTTGTTTTGGTAGTCTCCCATCAAACTCTGAGCATTTGCTTCTGGGTTTTAAAGTGGCGATCCTTTTCTGATTATGTAAACTTGATGCTTAGCCACGCCTGTCTTTAAGTTTAAAGCCCAGCCCCCTACTCAATATTCTGTTTCAATAAGGTATATGCACAGCTAGTGATTATTCCCCCATCAACAAACTTCCAGTGAAATGTCAATGTGACAGCATCGATGTTGTAATATAATTCACATATAATCCGTTAAATAGACTTCAGCAGCCATTTAGGAGTTCAAGTGTGAAGCGAGATAAAAAGCTGTTTAAGCACATGCGCCGTCAGTAGCAGCAGGTGAGCGCAGAAGCTCCATTGACAATACTGGAGTGAAATAAATGTTCATACATGACATGGCGTGGAACAATTGAATTTAATGCTGTGCTTCTTGTACAGTCTGAGACCCACTTTATATTGTATATCAATCAGGCAGTGAAGATCATTGATTTTAAAGAAAACAGATCTTAATCAACCGATTTTGTAACTGCATATGTCACCCCGCCGGTCCTACACCACCGAGCTGGTATCAAACTGGCGACCTTCCGCATGGGAGTTGGTTGCTCTAACAAGGAGGCTAAAGGCTGAATTATACTTCTGCGTCAAGTGCACGCGTATGCTACGGCGCAGCCTACGGCGTTGACGCATAGCCCTACGCCAGTGCCATCGCTAACGTGCACCTCTCAAAAAATTTAACTACACGTCACAACGACGCGTAGCGCAAGCTCTGTGATTGGTCGGCTTGGTATCGCTGACGAGTCAGGGCGGGACCGAGAGCGGCGCGAGCCAGATGGAGCGATTGTTTACAAGTGTGGAGTCCCGCAAAGGAGCTCCGGATGGAAAGTTTTGTTTTGTGTTTACCTCATAGTTAAAGTTGTTGCATGTCCGCCGGTTCCTGCCTCAAAATGAGCGAGCTTGAGCCACTTGTACATTCAGGAAGCGTTCAGAAAAACACTAAACAGCAGCGAAGAAACTCCAACAGAGGAACATTTACACCTCACTGCCCACTAGCGTTTCGAAAGTGTTAATGCAGACCGACAGAGACAGTGCGCAGAAGTATAAATGCACAGCTACGCACATTGCATGCGCCGGTCACTTGACGCAGAAGTATAAACCAAGCTTAAAGGGCCATGAAACCCCCTTGTTTCAGCAGGGTGTTTTCACACCTCTACTTTGGAAAAAGTCAGAAAAGTGGGCGTGTCCAGCTCTGTTTAGGGGGGAGTGTCGGAGGAACTAAAGTGGGATGGTGTGGGAGTGTCTATTTGGGCACGCGTGAGTTTCAGAGTCAAAATAAACACACAGGAGAAAGTGATGGTGTTTAACCTACATGGACATCTGTAGTCGAATTATTTGCCAAATTATTAAATGGTGGACTTTAACTTCAGTTTGGCTCTTTCATTCAGGGAATTCATTCATGCCCCTCGCGACAAACGTGATATTTGATTCGAGGAACTCCTCTAAGCGTGTATTTTTCATGCAATGTTTGATACCGCACGGCGAATGAGAGAAAAAAAACCTCCGCATTTCCCGGAAACTTAGATGCACACGGCAGGTAGCGTCAGAAAGCCGCGTGTGTTATTCCGGTCACAAAATGCGGTGAAAATCCTACACGAGGTTAAAGTTTGGTTGTGGTGCTAACATGTTTACACTCGGTGCAATAGTTAACTTAGTTCGATACGAACAAACTGAATAAACAAAGAGCACTGGTCGCTCACTTACCAAATCTGTAGAGACAGGACAATCACCAGCAACAAGAGCCGCGTCTTTATTAAGAGGAGACTACAAGCGAATCCGGATCTCAGCGTTTGCAGATGAGAACAGCTCTCAGGTAAACAATAATCCTCCTTAGACATGTAAATTATTGTTGTCGAGCGTCGCGTACACTGTTAATCCACACGTGACTCCAGCTGAGCTCTCACAGAGAGAAAATGAAAACAAAACTTAACTGCAGCAAACTATAAAAGCAACACTTCACGCTTGTTTTGCCAACACAACGTGGCGTCTCTGTCATCTAAACACTATGATAGTAATGCATATTAATGAAGTTGCACAATAGAGCGCACTGATTGGTTTGAACCAAGCCTTACTCATGCATTAATGCATCACACTGTAAGACGTAATAAGACACACTCTGGCACAGACGTCCAGTCTGCACGCTGGAATAAAACGCTATTATCTCATGACCGTGACGCAGCTTCAAAAATTCGTTTCAACCGGAAGTACGAATTTGCTTAAAATAACGCAAAAACAACCAATTTACACTTTTTAGTGAAATATAGGTGTCCTAATAGTGTTTTTAGCAGTATGGGACACATATACGACTGTCAACAGCTCAAAACATGTGTTTTGGTGTTTCGTGACCCTTTAAAGACCATGGCCTCTAGTGTCTGTCACTAGAGCACCTTTAGAGGTTCAGAGGAGTGAGGTTTACTTGCAAAGCACCTACTAGCTGTCCCCCGTTACACTCAGCCCCCCTAAACCTCACTCCCACACAGGTCATGGCACCAATGTAACCCCGCCAGTCCTACACCACCCAACCCGCTCCGAGCTGGTATCGAACCGGCAACCTTTCGCATGGGAGTCGGTTGCTCTAACAAGGAGGCTAAAGACCATGGCCTCTAGCGTCCCCCGTTACAGATTCAGTTCACCAGAAGCGCTTGGACAGGGTTACTGAAAATGAAAAGTCCTTATGCATATACCCTACTGGAAGTACATCAACATACTTAAATAAAAGTCTCAGCAAGTTCTAGTTCACAAAAGCTTTAAAACTCTCTTTTTAACAATTATAAATGTGGCATTTGAGCGGGAAAAACTACACAATGTTTTACAGAAAATTCTAGCAATTTTATGTAGCCAACACCCACCCAAAATAATGTAAAAAAAGAGAAATGTACATTTCTGCCACTGGTTTACCTGACTGTATGAGTTTGAACTGTCTGTTTTTCTCCTCTTCAATCTTCTTCCTGTAATCTCCGGAGACGGCTCTCATCACCTGCCTCTTCTTCACCAGGGGTGCTTTAGAGCTGCGCAGTGTCTTCAAAGCACGGCTCGCTTCTTCTCCTGAAGTGGGACATATTGAATGAGGGATGTTTTTAAATCCGGAGTTTGTGCAAGAGATGTGTATATATAGATGTATGTGCAAACACGTACTTTGTTTACTGGATGTTTTCTGAGTTCTCAAGCCGAGCTCCAGCTGTTCAATGCACCAATCCAACTCTCGACTCAGCTGCTCATCTGGAGTCTAACACACAGGTTAGTTATCTATACATGCTATATAACAGGTTATATAGTCATCGGTTGGCCCACACAGAACCTGCAGAAATCTGCAGACTTACAGCCCATTGTGGAGTCTATTTAGTTACTTGTGTAAATGTGTGTAAATTTATATTTATTCAGTTTTTTTTTATTAATTTCAGTAGTATTATTGACTAATATGAAAATGTTCATCTGATTGATTTAGAATAGATTTGTACAGTAGAGAAATTATATGAGGGACTTGCCTTGTTTACAACATAAGTGGACCTAACTGGATTTGCATTGTAAAGATTAAATAAAAAGTTTAAAATTTATTATTATTTTTATTTAATAAATTAAGTTTTTGGTTATGATACTCCCAAAATCATTCCGCATAAATCCACATATTTTTTACAAAATTCTGCGCAGAAATAGCTAAAAATATCCGCAGATTCTGTCTGGCCCTATTCATCGGAAGGGAGTCCAGTCCAACCGCGGGAAAATGTAATGGGCGTGGCCAACCTGTGACCTCAATCAAGATTGACCAATAGAATAAGGTGTTTCAAAAGATCCAGCCCACTGAGCTGCAGAGTTTTCAACTCACAAGCAAAGATTTTAGATCCGCAAAAATGAAACAAAACCGAAAGCAAAATGAATGAGCACACAATTAATTAATCTGGTGGTAACTGCATAAAATGGCGATAGTTTATTTTTTGCAGTGTGAATTTTTTTTAATTAGCGCTATTTAATTGACTCTGAACAATGTTGTACTTTTATAGTCATTGGCTGCTAATGTGAGTTTGCAATGCATACTTTTCTGTAAAAGTCTAAATGTACGAATATGAAACAAACTTTACCTCAATGTTTTCATAAAGTTTGCAGCAAATTCTGACCCCACCATCCTAGTGCTGTAGCACATTTAGGTAAAGTTGGTTTTACAGTCGCACATTTGGACTTAAAACTTCCAAATATAACTCCAGAAAAGTATTTTTGAAAATTCTAAATAGGGAAATCATACTATCAGCCAATGACTATCAATGTACAACATCGTTCACAGTCGATTAAATAGTGCGAATGTTGTCTTGAAGTCCTTCATACATGCAATTATAGACCCAATATTCAAAGTAGCATGTCACAAATTGTACCTGGTCAAAAATAAATGAATGTGCGAATATAAAACCAACTTTATCTCTAGCACAGACACTCTGTCAGACTAGAAAACCAATTTTCTGCATGTTTTAGTAAGCCTTTGTGAATTGTAGCCTCAGTGCTGTTTGTTGTCACTGCTGTGTGAGAGGTTACTGCAGGTGTACCTAATAAAGAGGCCAAAGAGCACATTCAAGCACAAAATAATGCCCAAATCAAGCATAACGTAGGCTGATATTTTTAAATCTTCCTTGTTAGCAATGAAAAGCAATGTGTGCTTGCTCAGTTGAAATAGTATGTATTATGTATGTGCTTACAAGTTCAGAGGTTTCTTGTTTGGCTGTTTCCCCTTCTGTTGTTTTAGTCTCTCTCTGCTGATCGTCTTTTCCCTCACCTGCTTTCTTTTTCTTCTTCTTCTTGTGTTTTTTAGCACTGGCAGAAGCCACAGAGCTTGGAGTTATGGCGGGGTCAGCTTCTCCACTCTGGGCATCCGTGATTTTCTCATTTTCCAGCATTCTGGGGCTTTCTATGAATCATGAACAAAAAGACAACAAATCCAAGGCAACAATATAAACGTAAAGTCATGCAGTAAAAGTATTTAAATATATAATGTAAATTAAAAGTGCCACCGAACTGTTCTGCTTTACACAAAACATCCTACCTGTTCCAGTTGATACCTCTGACATAAGTTTTATTCGTCTGAAAAAACAAACTAAAGAGTAGTCTATGCCAATAGTAAAAGACACAAAACTGCGTAAATTAAGTGTTTAATGACTTTTGCTCTAAGTTTTATATACTTAAATATATTCTAGACACTGAAAGTATGCATGTGTGAATATCGCGAATTTGTGCAGCGTTCAAATAGTTCCGCTGATAACAAATTCACCCTTCTAAAGGTTCCTACTGCAGCGCTTTTTAATTAAATTCACCGTCTCTAGGCAATGATAACACAAAGACTCGTACAATAGTTGATCTCAAAATCATTGTATTGTTTTACTTAGTCGTTTGAATGACAACTGTCGTCGCTATATTGTTTTAATTATGTTTTGTATTGTCAATCAAAACCGTGAGAATGAGAAGAACCGGGCGGTAATGGACGATTGTTCTTACATAATCGACACCAAACTGGTGCAGGGCGAGGAAAGGATTTTTAAAGCATCTAAAAAAGATGTTTCACTTTTGCTTGTTGATTACACGTTCATATAAAGACATTTTAATTGTTTAAAAAAAGTTTCTGATTTATCTATTAAGGCTGGTCAAAATTAGCTTTTATAAACAAACCAGTCTCTTTACTGGTATAAATACTCAAGAAGGGTTAAATTATACTTGTTCTCTCTTCCAGCCAATGAGAGCCTATGTGGGCGTGTCTAATGTACGTGCAGACGTCACTGACTATATAAATGTAGAGGAGCTCGTACTGCGCGTGACCGACGTTCCTTGTTTTGGCTTTGACGGATTAACCGAAACAGAAAATCGTAAGTATCGATAATGATTGATCTTAAACTTACTAATCACGTCTAATGTTTCTTTCAGCTTACTAAAAATCAGGTATTTAGAATATTTGAGAACACCGACAGCCTTTCCAGCTCGTTTTGTGTGTTTAAATTCGCGGATTTAGATCACTTTTCGTCGCGGTAGCAACAAGCTAAGCTAACAAGCGCGCTTTTATATTTACTCGAGCTTGGTCTCTGTAGATATTTAACTAATTTTAGCTTAAATTGGTACTTTAAACGCATACTCTGATAAAACGCGTCGTTTGTTCAAATTTTAACGGTTACACGTGGTGTTATTGAATTGTCGGTGTAGACAAAGAAAAGGCTGTAATTGGTGTTCTTGGGCGCCATGTTACACGTAAAGGCAGAAACGTGTCTGTGTCTCATCCTGAGATGGTGGACTTCAAAACTGCATAAATACGAGATTCTATCTCATCAATTTACTGTTGTTTTTTCGCCCTTTTTGCAATATTTTAACCCAAATGGGGTGTTTATGTAATACTAGTGTGCCTGAATAGTTGAATAAACCCGACCGCCGCTGAAGATATTTGCCTCCAGGCGGTGTGTGTGTGTGTGTGTGTGTGTGTGTGTTGAATAGGAGTCTGTTGAGTATCCGTGTGTGACCCAGTGTCCCACTGCGAGATCTTCAGGTTATCTATTCTACACAACGACACACGCTTTCTACTTGTTTATATACATAGTTAACACTTGGTTGCACTTTAAAAGCACATGAGACGCCTTTTAGAGTGGCCAGCCAGCTCATTTATCTTTAACGTCACACATTTATATTTTAATCTCTTTAATGGTGCCCCCATGTTGTAAAGCGCCTAGCTGGTAATAAAGGAGACTGAGAGCCTCGACTTTTAATGTTTGACTGTAGTATTATTATTATAATGGGCGGGACGAGGACCGGAGTTTTGTTATTGATTACGTCAGCGCATGTGGAAGTCCCCGCGGCTGTGCTGTTTCTCTTATCGGCTCTTGTCCCTCATTCAGGCCGCTTCATTGAGGTGCCATGGCACGTACAAAACAGACCGCTCGTAAATCCACTGGTGGTAAAGCCCCCAGGAAGCAGCTGGCCACTAAAGCGGCCAGGAAGAGTGCGCCCTCCACCGGCGGAGTCAAGAAGCCCCACAGATACCGGTAAGGCAAACACCGACGCACGTGTGTGTGTGTGTGTGTGTGTGTGTTTATACACATTTTTTCATGAGCATTTAGAGCGTATATATTATATACACGCACACATAACGTTTGAAGTGGATCAGCAGAGTCTTTAAGCTATTCAACACACACATTTAGAGACAATTCTTGAAAAACTGGATGGAAAAAAAGTCAACATTAGAACTTTTTATATTGTACATATTTAGCAGTGACATTATTGGAGTATGTAAATTAGAGTGAGTCACTGAATAGATTTAATACATAGAAGAAATCCCAAACAAATTAGTATTTTTTTCATATCTTTATCAAACTTCATTATGGACTGCGTTTGACAAATCTGATGTAAAGCTGGCTTAATATTCGTTTACCGCAATATTTTAAATATGCAGTCTGAAATGGCAGGTTTGTATGTCTTCAGAACAACATTAGCACTGTTTAAACGACCATAAACGATGTTATAGGCTACGTTAATAGCTGTACATTTCCAGATTTAGAATTAGCAAATGTTATTTTTCTGAAGTTTATATTATTGAGTCAGAATGTGCGAACATGAAGCTAACTTTACCTTAATACGATCGGCCTGGGAACTCAGCAAGAAAACATTCATTTTTTACAAAGCTTTAAAACTTCACGTCTTCAACAAAACACTACACAACTAAAGAGTAAAGGACTTCAATTAATTAAATTACACCGAATACGTAGCTCATAACATGTACTCCCTTTTAGATCAAAATCATTTTTAATTTTTCTGGTGTTCAACACATTTTTTGGAGCAAATCGAAACTAGGTCTGAACAATAGGGCAGTCAACATATGAAGTGGTTCGAAACATTTGATGCAATAGGCCGAAGACTATTCAACACATTATTCTTGGTTTGGGATCACTTGGAAAAAAGTAAGGCTGAAGAATACAGTAGTCAACATTTGCAGTGGTTGAAAACCATTGTTAGAATGGTCCTGGTTTTCACCACATTTTTGGCACAATTTTAAAAACTAGGGCTGAACAATACAGTAGTTAACATGTAAAGTGGATTGAAACTTTTCTTATCCTAAAACTGTTTAACACATTTGTTTTGGGACCATTTTGAAAAACTAGGTTTATACAATACTGTAGTCAACATTTGATGCAAGTCAACCTCAGTCCTAAGACTATTGAACAACACCCATTCTGGTCTTTGGTCAACTTAAATCTTTATTTTTATTTATTTATTCTTTTTTGATCCACTTTAAATATTGACTACTGTATGTTGTTTGAGTATCTATTACAATGCGTGTCTGCAATAGTCATAAGACAGGATTAAATATACAAAAAATAAAAGCATTACTGTGTAATTTATACAATAGCCATGTTTTACATTTTGTTTGTTAATTTCTTTTTTTTTCTTGAGTACTGTCAGACTCCACACAACCTTATAGTGTTTATGTAACTTGTATTTTTGCTCTGTGTTTGTATATGATTGTATTTTTTCATATATATATATTTTATGCAAATCACCCCAATTGATCTAAGTTTGTCTAGAATCTTTCCAAATAGAGCTAATCAAATCATCTAGTAAAACTGTATTTATATCGCAATGTAGATTGCAGCAAAACTAAACATTGCAGTGTGAGATTTGTCAAATATCATGCTGCACTGACAAGTTGATCCATTTCATATGTTTACTACTTTACATGTAAATCTACCTGTGTATACGTACAAACGCATACATATGGCTCATGCACTAAAAGTACATATGTTTCATAGCCATATGTTGGTGTGTGTACTATACATGTACGCATTTTTTGGATTTCATGCGTTTGTATATATACTCCATGTTATACAAGTGTGTATAATGACGTGCATATAAAATAAACTTGTTGCATATAATTGTGTAAATGTTATGTTTGTGTACGTTTTTATATGAACATGCACTTATGGTTTGTCAGATGTTTATACTTATTAAATGTGCAATTTTTATACAATTATACGGTTATATATAATTTTTTTTGTATTAGTTATTGTATATTAAATGTATGCAAATGTATTGTATATTGAATGATTTGAATAGTGTGTATGATTTAGGGTGTCTGCATTGTGTATAAATGGTATTTCACCATAATATAAATAAGCATTAGGCATATTTGTGGTTTTAAGTGTGTTTTATATAGGATTTAGAAGTAAACAAAGCATTTATTCTTAATGTTGCTTGGACGGACTGATTTATTTTTTAATGCACAAATTAATTTTTTTTCTTTCTCTCCTAGTCCTGGAACTGTGGCTCTTCGTGAGATCCGTCGGTACCAGAAGTCCACAGAGTTGCTGATCCGCAAGCTTCCCTTCCAGCGTCTGGTTCGTGAGATCGCTCAAGATTTCAAGACCGACTTGCGTTTCCAGAGCGCTGCCATCGGTGCCCTGCAGGTGCGTTTTCCAGCACTTTAACACACATCTGCATGCATGCTTGGGTCATTTTCTGTTTGTTTGGTCACTCATGACAATGTTTTCCCATTCTGAATTGTAGGAGGCAAGTGAAGCATACCTGGTGGGTCTGTTTGAGGACACTAACTTGTGCGCCATCCACGCCAAACGTGTCACCATCATGCCCAAAGACATCCAGTTGGCCCGTCGAATCCGTGGAGAACGTGCTTAAACTCTCTACTATTTACTCTTTTTGTGTGGAGGAATATATGGGGGTGGGGCTTGTCGTGTGGGTGGGTCAGGGGTGGGAGGGGCATCTGGGGTTCTTACACTCTTGACTATAAATGCCTGTGTAGTTTAAGTTTATTTTTTGTATTTTTCAGTAGTGGCGGTAGGGAAGGGGTATCTTGTGATTGAAGTTGGTAGTGGGGACGGGCGGGGGGGCAGCGTCAGAACATTCCGGGAGCTCCTCAGGGTTTTAAAGTTTGTATTTTAGACTTTCATATACCTCTGCCTAGTCTGCATGCTTCATGATGAATTTAGAACGTGTCCCATTTTTATTTCTCTCGTTATTATATTGGGTTTCTCCTCTTCTATTGTGGCCATTTGGTTGTAAATAAACTTTCCACTACCTCAAACTCTCTACTGCTGCTTGTTTTTGTGGATTTCACATGGTGTGTATTTGCATGAAGTGTTCAGGTGCAATCTCAATTTGGAATAGAATTTCAGATGAACTTTAATTTATTTAGTTAATTTTAAATTTTATATTGACTTTTATTTGCTTTTTATTTATTTGATTGTTCCTGTGGGGTTAGGCTCAGTAGTTTTACTAATGAGGGAAAAGGGTTCTTCAATTTTATTTTTAATACAGTGAAATTACTGAAACATACGAGGCTGAGAGGGACAAAAGGGGGAATTTCAAATGCCAGTTAAGAGTTTTCTTCCCCTTGGGTTTCTATTGGGGTATGTGTAGCAATTTTTACATTTGGGAGCATGATCTTTAAAAAAAAAAATCCTTTTTTTTTTTTTTTAATACAGTGAAATTACAAACATGCAAATTTTTAGAGCATTTCAAAGGCTTTTTTTTTTATTTTATTTTTTTTTAAATCTCTCGTTCCAAACTTAATTTGAGAACTAAAGGATTTGCATAACACTGGAATTGGTCATGCATTGTTGCAGGTTTTGGATGTATTTTGACCAAAAATTGTTGAACTGTTTTATCACCAATTAACTAAGTGGAAAGACAAACGTTTCCTTAAGCCCAAAGCTTGAAATGCTGCATTATTCAACCTATGCTTGGTTGCATTTCTTTCATTGCCCTACTGTTAAATTAAAAAAAGGTTTTTGATTAATTTATACATGCAGTTCAATCCACTTAAGTCGTGATGTATTTAATACTCTTTCCGAGTCTCATTTGAATTGAGAAAATATTTATTTATGACCACTCTTTAGTCATATCATACATTAAAGTAAAATCATGGTGTTCACTACAGTCTCTGGACTTGGATAAAATCACATTCTGGCTGTGGTTGAAAGTACCGTTACTTGCCCAAAAATGTTAAAGTATCTGTTGTAACTATTACTCAAAGTATGAGTAAAAAATAGACCTTTCAAAAGTACTCTAGTGAGTAGCCTATCAAGCTGGGACAGATTGAAGGTTTACATGTAATTTGTGTAAACATCATTCTGTAGTGCATTTAGTGATTGGTCAAGGCCATTTCAGTCATACTGCAAGCATTTGTCAACATCTCATCAGTGACCTTCAATTTAAACCATCTCTGGGTCATTGCATGTAAAGTATCTTCTCTGGCACTTAATGCTCCCAAACAGTGTGCTGCATATCTTAGTCCTGCATGATGCAATTTACATTCTATGTGTGATTTGATTGGACAGGAATCGCAGGACTGATTTTTCAAATGTCTATAAACCAGAAAAGATAAAGTAGTGAGTGCAGGCTGAAGGAAAATAGAGTAAAGTACCAATACAGCACTAAAAATGTACTCCAGGTAAAGTAGACGTTTTAAAAACTACTTGGTGAATTACAATATCTGAGAAAAACTACTCCCAGTAATTTGAGTGTTTGTAATTTGTTACTTTACAGCACTGCTTTCTGGCCTTCTGATATCAGGTATGGATATGTATGTGATGATGATTTTCAAAAGTGTTCTATCACTTCGTAAATGCTTATTAATGTTAGTTGAGCCTCCGATTTTACAGTTTGATAAAGCACTTTGACCTGAAAGCTGCTTTGAGTTACGTCAGACTTTACAAGCAAATGTAAAATATTAGAACTCTAAAGCAGTAGTTCTCAAACTGTGGTACATGGGCTGCCTTCTTTTGGTGCGCAGAGTAATCCAATATGTCAGTGGGTCTCAAACTTTTTTCATTAAGTACCACCTCAGAAAAAAAGTCTCTCCCAAGTACCACCAAAATGAACAATATTGAAATACAGTAGCGTAGTAGGCCCAGTAAAGCAGCTACAACCCTGCACAGTTAAAAAAAACGTGGCAGATTACCTCAGAAATATAGGCTATATGGCATATTATATACATCATTTTTAATAAATTTTGAAATATGTGTAGCATGTACATGACATATTTCATTCCTCCACGTACCACTAGAAGGAAGCCTACGTACCACAGTTTGAGAACCACTGCAATATGTCATATGTACATGCAACATATATTTCAAAATGGATCATATATGAACATAAAGCCTTTATTTATGAGGTCCAAGCAGCATTTCCAGCCTTTGATGAATAGGATACTATAGGTTTACACTTTACATTTAAGTACAGGAGATTTTTTTTCACTTTAAGCACTTTTAAAAGCACATTTTAATTTAAACATTGCCATGTTATTTTGTTTGTTTTACATATAAACACAGCAGTGTTCATGTTCAAACTATTTATAAGGTTTAAATAATAAATATTAATAATAGTTATTAATCTGCCACGTTTTTAAACTGCAGAGTTGTAGCTGCTTAATTAGGCCTACTACACTACTGTATGTCAATACTGGTCATATGGTGGTACTTGGAGGGACAATTGTTTTCTGAGGTGGTACTTGATGATAAAAGTTTGAGAACCACTGCTCTAAAGAAATGCATATGTCATGTAGCTGTTACTTTTTTACCTGTCTGGACAATCTTTGCTATGCAACCTAATGTGTCTACATCAGGGATGTCCAAACTTGTTCCTGGAGGGCCGGTCTGCAGATTTCAGCTCCAACTTATCTCAACACACCTGTATGGCTGTTTCTAGGATGCCTGGTAAGAGCTTGATTAGCTCCGGTGTGTCTGATTGTGGCTGGAACTAAACTTTGCAGGACACTGGCCCTCCAGAACCGAGTGCTCTAGATTCAAGAACTGAATGCTAATTCCTAATATGAGTTTATTATACAGATCAAGTAGCAGATAATGAAGGCGCTTTTTCAGTGTGTCCACTAATGCAGTGTTTCTCAACCATGTTCCTGGAGGACCGCCATCTATACACATTTTCCTTGTTTTCTTAATCAAACACATCTGATTCAGATCATCATTAGCAAAGACCTGTAATGGGTCTGACAGATAAAGGAGACATCCAAAACATGCAGTGCTGGTGGTCCTTCAGAAACATGGTTGAGAAACACTGCAGTAATGCATCCTCTGATGTTAATAACAACTAGCAGTCAAATTCAATTCTGAAATGGCATATTCAGACGATCCGCTTCAACACAAACACATTCAAGACCAGACATTTTGGACGGCTGATTTGACGTAGAAAACGTTTTACTTCCGAAGTTAGCATTAAACCATAAATTAACATCGCAGATGAAAAATAAAGTCTCCATTTTAGTTTGAGTCATGATGATGGTTTGTTTTTGACTTCCTCTTCTTCCTCCTCAGACAGCAGTCCTGATATATGATCATAGAGGTTTTTCTCCAGAGTCTGGTCTACCTCGGTCTCTTTCCTGAACACACACCACAGGAGGATACCCACTCCTAACAGGCTGATGGGGAGGACTTTCCACCAGGGCCGCTGGAAGTTGCTGCCCATGGATCGGTCCACGTTCCAGGTCCTGTGACTGGCGGGGCTGGTGGAGAACTTGATGGGTTTGTCTACTACTTCATCCTCATGTTCTGGAGGTTTCCTGGACTTTGCGTGCAGCGCTGATGTTATGGACAGCATCCTTGTGGCACACGGCCTGCAGGTAATCAATATGGAGCATATTCATATTAAAGATGTGCTTAAAGGGATAGATCACAATAATTAAGATTTACCGTTTACTCAGGTGGTTCCAAACCTTTGTGTGTTTCTTTATTGTGTCGCACACTAATGAAGATATTTTGAAGACAGCTGGAAACCGGTAACCATTGACTTTCATAGCAGAAAAAACATATACTATGAAAGTCAATGGTTTACAACATTTTTCAAAATATCTACTTTAGTGTTCAATAGATGGAAACTCGAAGGTTTGATACAAGTAAAGGGTGGGTGAATGATCACAATTATTATTTTTATTATTTATTTTTTTATGAGAGAACTATGCCTTTAACTCCTGTGCATAAATCAATAGAAAATACATATTAGGTCCATAAAGGACAAAATAAAAGTTTCTTTATGAACATAAGTTTTCCTTTTTATCTACTAAACAATTACTTAATTAATTTTGTCTTAAACTTTTTTTTCCACGTACAATTGGAAATATACACTCACTGGCCACTTTATTAGGTACACCTGTCCAACTGCTCGTAAGCGCAAATTTCTAATCAGCCAATGACATGTCAGCAACTCAATGCATTTAGGCATGTAGACATGGTCAAGACGATCTGCTGCAGTTCAAACAGAGCATCAGAAAGAGGATTTAAGTGACTTTGAACGGGTTGTTGGTGCCAGCTGGGCTGGTCTGAGTATTTCAGAAACTTTGGGTGCCACTCCTGTCAGCTAAGACATTCGGATGGTCGGGCATCAACATCATGAAAGCATAGACCTATCCTGCCTTATATCAACAGTTCAGACTGGTGGTGGTGGTGTAAGGGTGTGGCGGATATTTTCTTGGCACACTTTGGGCCCATTGAGCATTGGCTCAACACCACAACCTACAAAGTATTGTTGCTGATCATGTCCATCCCTTTATGACCACAGTGTGCCCATCTTCTGATGGCTATTTCCAGCAGGATAGAGCACCATGTCATAAAGTGTGAATCATCTCAGACTGGTTTCTTGATCATGACAATGAGTTCACTGTACTCAAATGGCCTCCACAGTCACGAGAACTCAATCCAATAGAGCACCTTTGGTATGTGGTGAAACGGGAGATTCACATCATGGATGTGCAGCCGACAAATCTGCTGGAGGAACTGCGTGATGCTATCATGTCAATATGGAGCAAAATCTCTGAGGAATATTTCCAGTATCTTGTTGAGTCTACGCCACGAAGGATTAAGGCAGTTCTGAAGGCAAAAGGGCGGCCAACCTGGTACTAGTAAGGTGTACCTAATAAAGTGGCCGGTGAGTATATGTACATTTTGTTAGTAAATGTCCACAAAGTTTCTAATCATTGGCTTTTCAAACAAATAAATGTCTTTTGAAACAAAAATGTGCTGTTTTACATTTTAATAAATGAGTAAAATAAGTTGAAGGAGATAAGGATTAAATATTAACATTTAAATAAAATCAAACCTTATGAGAAAACTGCTTGCGTTAACAATCAAAATGATCACAAAATTAAATTTAAATTCCCAAAAAGAGGCACGAGATTATGTCATAAAGGTCATTGATTAGGGAAAAATCAGTGTTCATCATGTAATAAATGTCTACCAAGGTCAGCAGAGGATTTAAAAGCCCATTAAAGAGCAATTTAACAAGAAAAATAAACCTAACGAAAAGAAATCTGTTCAATTAACACATTTACATTACGTCTCAATTAATTTAATGTTTAAATAATGTCAAATACAAAGCAACTTGGTTGCATAAACCGCATTGAGGTGATAGATGGTCAATTTCAAATCTCTACACAATCAGAAACTATTCACTTGCCTTAATTTCGCGTGTCTTCGGCTGGTAAAAGCATTATAAGCAAAGGAAAATCGTGATAAACGCGTGTAAACTTTTGACATCTTGAGGGTTTCTTCATAACGCGACTCACTTCAGGTCATGTAATGTGCGCCGCTGTAAACTCCGCCCGGAAGGAAAGCTACAACTCACTGAAATGTAGTTCCGCTTTGAAATTTAGACGCTTTAAAGAAAATAACTCGTCTGACCACTTCACATAAATTAAATACTAGCGTATTAAATACGCAAAACATTATATTAACTATTTAAAACTCATCGTTTGAAGCGCATTCTAACTCTACGCTTGGTAATTTCAGGGACTACATATCCCAGAAGTCTGAGTATCAGCCTATCAGAGACGCAGATTGTGCATAACCATAGTAACGTCATCAAACGTGGTGCGAGTTCATTTTCATGGCGCTGTCCGTACACACGTGAATGTGAGAAGGCACTGGCAGATCTTCGTTTGATTTGTAAGTTATTCTAAGGCACATTTATGTTTAGCTCGCAGATATACGTTTAATACGTTTAACCAATGCGTTCAGTAGCTGTTTATAACACTTGAAATTGTTATTAAAGTCACAATCTAATGATTTCCTCACTAACATCACGTCATGAGCAGATATGTAAATAATGTATATATATTATATGTGATCTACTACGTGTTTCCAGCATTTAGATCTTGAAATCCAAATGAAAAAGAGCGATATATACAGTCAAGGCCGAAATTATCCCTTAATGTGCTGTTGAGGATATTTTCATCTACTCTGGGGTGAATTTTTGACTCCTAATTTGACCATAACTTTGTTTTTCAGTTAGCAGAATGTGTTTTGGTAACAAATGTGGTGAAATATTTAAAGAACTTAAATACACTATGGGGAAATTGACTACCTTTTTGTTAAGTTCTGGATGAAAACATCCACTGAATTTAAACTGCTCCTTTTTTAGACCAGAACGCCTATGGGCGCACACATAAGGGCAAAAGCATCTGCTATTTAAAACGACACTTGCTTCAAGCTGAAACTAGCAAACAACAATTGCTTTGCGCCGCATTGCGCATAATTTCAGCCTTGACTACATATTAGTGCTTATCAACAGATTTTAGTCAACAGAGTGTGTAAGGTATGTGGTAAAAGCTACATATATCTTACTAAATTGACTGAAGGGTCGTTTTCTTACTAAAACTATGCAAAATATTTCAAATATTTTATTTATTTGTCATTTCCCTGCTGAAAAATCCAGCTTAAACCAGCCTAGGATGGTTAGCTGGTTTTAGCTAGGTTTACGACCCCATATTTTAGAGGGGTTTTGGCCATTTCCTGGCTGGTTTCCAGCTATTTCCAGGTCTTAGCTGGTCAGGCTGGGAAATGACCAGCTAAAACCAGCTTGACCCGCCTAGCCAGGCTGGGAGCCCAGCCAAAACCAGCTATGTCCAGCTTAAACCAGGCTGGTCAAGCTGGTTTTTAGATGGTTTTAGCTGGTCACTTTCCAGCCTGACCAGCTAATACCAGGCTGGAAATGGCTGGAAACCAGCCTGGAAGTGGCCTAAACCCCTCTAAAACCAGGCTGGTTGACCAGCTAAAACCAGCCAACCATACTAGGCTGGTTTAAGCTGGATTTTTCAGCAGGGTTGGCATTTAATACATTCATTAAATAATAGTACTAAATCTCACTTTTAGATTTAAAAGCATTTGTTACATTTTAATAAATTAACTTTGTAGTTACTATCTTATTCTCTACATTTTTAATCATTTAATGCCTCTTATGCTGAATAAAATAATGCTGAAAAGTAATTTAACTCGCATCCTATTCTTTTTCACCCAGATCTGTTGCAATGGATAAGAGTAAAGCCGACGAACCGCTGAAGAAAAAGAAAGTTAAAAGTGCACAGAAAGAGAAGACGAATAAGAGAAAGGCTGAGGATGAGGTGTGTGTATTTACTAACATTTTATGTTTAGAAAACCTCTGTCATAACACTCATGATAAAGATACACATTATTTATTTAAAAACCAACCAAACCTATTCAAGTTAAAACCCTTCATAATGCATTTAATATATGCAATTAATTATTCACGATTTAAGCTAGAGCCTAATGTGGATACCTAAAGATACTAAGTGATATTACTGTGTATTTTGAGACTTTTAATATGTCATTCAATTAATATCTTTATGAATATGGGCGTTTCACTGTTCTGGGTTGCGGCCGGAAGGGCATCCACTGCGTAAAACATATGCAGGAATAGTTGGTGGTTTATTTCGGACAGGCGACCTCTGATGAATAAGGGACTAAGCTAAAAGGAAATGAATGAATATGTCTGACATTATTTTTTACCATAAATAATAAGTACACTAAATTACTTTTTTGTGTGTGAAGATGTTATAATAGTCATGTTTCACCCACAGTCCAAAGACATGCAGTGTAGGTGAATTGGGTAAGCTGAATTGTCTGTAGTGTATGTTTGTAAATGAGTTTATTGATGTTTCCTGGTGATGGGTTGCAGCTGGAAGGGCATTCGCTGCATAAAACATATGCTGCATAAGTTGGCGGTTCATTCTGCTGTGGTGACCCCTATGCTGTTTTTATAAAAATAAGTGTATCTCACAAATGATTTGATGTAATCCGTCCAAATCAGTTGTATATAGTTTCAAAGTGTTTTATCTGTGTTTTTTTACGTTGACAAGTTTAAAGGTGACATTTGTGTTTTTTCTGTATATAGGAAAAAATGTAAAAATAATAATAATAATAATAATAATTCTATATATATTTTGTGGTTTATTGCACTTTTAAGCTATTTAACTAGTTAATATGGTTGATGACATACACAAACTTCAAATTGGGGATGTAAGGATTTTTTGGATTTATGGCATTTGAAAATACTCAAAAGAATGACAGCTCAACATGTGAAAATACTAAGATATAACAACTGCATAAATGATAAATTACATGAAGTTAACCCGAAAATAAATGAAAAACACTCAACAAATTATAATTTTGAGACTAGGCATGATCAAACTGTCTAAACTAGATGTCGAATTGGACATTCTAGGTTGACTCATTTGTATTTACTCAATAACGAAGCAGCACCTAAATGTAACTACTGCCAGGCTGCTCCGACTATTAAACATATTTTGTTGGAATGTGGAAGTTTGAATAGGTATATATTTATAATTTATAAATTTATAATACATGTATAATTTTTATGTATATACATCTTTCCAAGAAATAGCCATAAGTGCAACCCAGGCTCATTCTGAAAACGTAGTCCCGTGGACTTTTCTGGAGACTGCGAATTATGTAGCCGGAGGTATGTATAGCTGCTAGGGTTGGGGCGATAGACGATGCCATCGTCCATCGCCAGTGGCCAATCAGCATCGCCGATCTTCCGCTCCGCCCCCATTGCAAACCTGCTCTCGAGAAATACACACTTTGGCCCTGTTTACACTAATACGTCTTAGTGTTAAAGAGGCATATTAGAATGAAAATGATCCACATCCACACCGTGTTTTATCTAGCATTTCTGAACAGAGTGATAATCTCCCGGAAAATCGCGCGTCTCCCTCCCGGCCCTCAAATAAGTCGCGCACTGTTCTCACCCCTCACCACCGGATCCCTCCTTTAGCCCCCCACCCCCTCCACGACGATGCCATCGTCCATCGCGATGTTTCACATTAGACATCGTACAGTGCCAAATTGGCCGACATCGCCCAACCCTAATGGCTGCATCTCATTTTTTTAAGTGAACGCTATGGGGCGGTATGACGCCGTTACTTTTTTGCGCTTACTGGCTGACCGCTTACCTCCGTGTGGAGGGCTTTCCCGCCGCAACCAGTTTGTCCATTTAGCTCGTTGTGTATGTCGGCGGACTTGAACCGCAGAGAGGAGCTAACCACGATGACGACCAGAGGAAGGAAGGTGGGTCAGTCGATTGGCCGGTCACACAGTCAATCAGACTAAGACTTCAGTCAGTCACAGACGGTCGCTCGACAGCAGCCTCTGGTGGGATTACACGATAACAGCGCGGGTGCGAACGGCACTCGTGAAAGACATTTGAGATGCGAAAAAGAGAATCTCATGGATTTCGTGAAAACAAAAACTGCAAAAATACGTACCTCCGGGGACATATTTCACGGTCTCCAGAAATGTCCACGGGGCCTACGTTTTCAGAATGAGCCTGGGTTGCATAAGTTGCTGATGTGGCAATAAAAACTAAGATATACCCTGGCGGTATTATTCTATGGCAGGTTAATAATGTGTCTAAGCCGAAAAAGAAAATGAATGCTGTGAATTTACAGGATCTGGTGACGTTGCAGGAAGACGAAACAAACAGAAACGTCACTGAAGAAAAAACGGAGAAAAAGCAGAAGAAGAGAAAGAAAAGCAAAACCGAGGCGAGTATATAGATAAAAGCATTAGTCTTCTTTTCATGTTTAATTCCATTCATCTTTATTTATATAGCGCTTTTACAATGTAGATTGTGTCAGAGCAGCTTAACATAGAAGTTAGGGTTAGAGCAAATCCATCAATGCGCAGCTCCACAAGTGAAGAAAAAAACAACCTAGAGAGAAACCAGGTCCTGTTGGGTATAACCATTTCTCCTCTGGCCAAACTTCCTTTGTGGAGCTGCAGTCTTGGCGCAGGAGGCTGGAGAACGCTGGACGTCCATCGTGGAGAAATGCTGGTGTTAGTAGGTCACCGGCTGGTCCACGGGTTCAATGCGGAGACTTGTCTGTCACTGTGCTCTTACAGGAATCAGTCCTATGCTTTCTACTCCTCCATGACCACCACAGCAGCTGTTCAGGATACGGCCTGGTCCAGGATTATAGATACCTTGGCATCATTCCACCACAGGTCTTGGATCGCATCAGTGGTGCGGCATAGTCTCTAGGGGACTCGGGATGAGTGTCCTCAAGTGGAAATAGAGAACAAATAAAATAATTAGCTTAGCTGCTGTTCATAGTGTATGTAAACAAGATGCAAAAATGGAGTGTTGTAAATGAAAATAGCAGCTATATAAACAAGCATAGGAGCGTTTCTAACAAAATGTCTGGTGCATTAAGACAGGAGGAGTCTGTCCTACAGGGGGTTTATCAACCCCACTCACATGCGTGAAGCACACTCATGCATCAAACTGTTATGCGATACTTTGTGTATGCTTGACTAAAAAGATAGGTCTTTGATCTAGTTTTGAACTGCGAAAGTGTGTGTTAGCCTTAGACAATATCAGGAAGTCTATTCCTGTGTAGGAGCCATAAATGTGAAGGCTCGACCTCCTTTAGTAGACTTTGCTATTCTAGGTACTACCAGAAGCCAGAGTTTTGAGATCTTAAAGGCATTTCTATTTTCATGAAGGGATAATTCAGCCCAAAAGTCTGGTATTTAAAATTTAATCAGTCACTTTTTTTGTTATAAGTAGAACTTTAAAGATAATTTTGTGTAGCTTGGTCATTGCGAGTTTAAAATATGAATTTTTTTTCTTCATTAAACGTATAGAAACTTTTATTATATTATTTATATTTATACTGTTTCCCAGTCCTGGGTTGCGGCCGGAAGGCACCCACTGCATAAAACATATGTAGGAATAGTTGGGGGTTCATTCCGCTGTGGCGACCTCTGAAAAATGAGGGACTAAGCTAAAGGAGAATGAATGAGTATTTCTGGCATTATTTTTTCTTCTTATTAATAATAACTTCACTAAATTACTTTTTAGTGTGTGGCTTATAAATCATCAAGAAGATGTTGTCATAGTCCCTTTTTACAGAGACAAAAATGTATTGCATTTGACTGCTGTGCAGGATCTGGTGACGTTGCAGGAAGACGAAACAAACACAAACATCCCTGAAGAGAAAACAGAGAAACAGCAGAAGAAGAGAAAGAAAAGCAAAACCAAGGTAAGTCAAATTAATGAATCATTTTTGGTTAAAAGTATTAATTTTTGTCATTGCTTTCTTTTCATTAATTGTTAGTTTTGCTAAAAATCTGGTATTTTAAATTTTATGGGCAACTTTTTTTGTTATAAGTACAACTTTAAAGAGGATTTTGTGTAACTTGGCAATTGGAAGTTTTAAATATGGAAATTTTGGTTCATCAAATGCAAGGAAACTTTTATTATAGATAGGAGCACTTTAGACGAGGCAGTGGCGCAGTGGGTAGCACGTTCGCCTCACAGCAAGAAGGTCGCTGGTTCGAACTAAATTGGCTAAATTGTCCGTAGTGTATGAGAGTGTGTGTGAATGTGTGTGTGGATGTTTCCCAGAGATGGGTTGCGGCTGGAAGGGCATCCGCTGCGTAAAAACTTGCTGGATAAGTTGGCGGTTCATTCCGCTGTGGCGATCCCAGATTAATAAAGTGACTAAGCCGACAAGAAAATGAATGAATGAATGAATGAGGGGCACTTTATTGGAATTACTAAAATTAAAACCAAAAATGATGGGGGCTTAATTTGACCACAACTCTCTCTGTTTCAGCAAATAGAATGATTTTTCGGGACAAATCATATGTTGACATATATTTTGGAAACATGCTTTGAAAATGTTCGAAAACTCAACAATACACTTTTTGACTTTCCTTTCGTTATGTTGGGGGCTGTTTTTGCCCCATTGACTTCCATAATAATGGCATTTTTTGATTGCAAAGCCTTGACACCATATAATCATGCATGCTTGATTGTTGCTGGTTTTTCTGGTTGGGAAGAGGCAACATTTGTAATTTTTGCTGCTGACCATCAGTTGCAGTGCAAAAGCATTAGTTTCTGTCTTTTTGTAATATGGAGTTATTTAGATAATGTGTGTTTGTTTGTGAGAGAGACATTATTTTGATATGTCTGAAAAAAAACTTAATAAGCTGCTCAGCTCTCAGAACGTAGTAAGTTTATTTGTATACATGCATACAATAATTAATATTTGGGCAAAATAGTGGTTATTCAGCATAACATACTAAACATACATAATCTGATGTGTACTTATTAACATATATTAAAGTGAAATATTTATTCATTACTATATTTTAAATCATTTAAATCTTGCAAACAAACAGAAAAGAATTGAAGGACCATGGCACAGTAAAAATACACATTTTTGCTGTACACAGTTTTACAGAACGACAGCTGTCTTTTGTAAGTCATGTTGTCATGTAACAGTCCTCAATATTTAATATACTATAATAATCTCAACTGTTTTTAAAACATTTCTGTCTTAGAGTTCTGAAATTATGAAGCAACAAGAACCATCTGTAAAAGAGGAGGAGCAGGAGGAAAACGGGCCGGGTGAAGAGGAAGAATTGAGTCCTGAGGAGAGACGAGTGCTGGAGAGGAAGCTGAAGAAAATTCGCAAAAAGGAGGAGAAGAAGAAACTGAAGGAGGAAAGCAAAAGCGTAACACCGGAAAACAACGTGGCAGAGAAACAGGCGCTGGAATACCTCACATGGTAAGACAAACTACTGTTTTTCTACATGTAGATGCTTTTTTATTCTACAATAGAGATTGCTTTAAGGGTTATTTCACCAAAAATTAAATTCTGATATTAATTACTGGCCCTCATCAAGTCTTTTCAAACCCTGGAGATTAGGGCTGCATATTAGGAAAAAAAATAACATGTTATATTTTCTTTTCTGCGACATGAATACAATTTTACCGGATGATTTGTACAGCTCTATTTGGAAAGATTCCCTTAATTTAGATTGACTTGGCGGATTAAGTCTTTTTCTATGCACTGCATCTGCATAAATTACAATAAATAACAAGCATAAATAAATGAATAAACAGTGCTTAATGGTTTTCTGTGGACTCTAACAGTATTTAAGTACAGAATTTGAACAAGCAAATGTAAAATAGCGTGGTCATTATTGTATAAATAATAATATAATAATATTTGTATCTTTTAATCTTTAATAAATAATCGAGTCCTGCGATGTGACTATTGCAGATACACATAATGCGGTATCAATGCTCAAATGGTATATTATTCAGCCCTACCGGAGATTTTTGTTCATCTTCAGACATGAATTAAGATATTTAAGATGAAATCCAGGAGCTTTCTCATCTTCCATAGATAGCAATAGTTCAGAAAAGGAGCCGAAATTATGTCAAAACAATAAAAAAAAAAAAGTTTAAAGCGTCTTTGTTGTCCAATGTCTTCCATGTCAGATTAATGTGTATGCAGGCCCGGATTGGCTAATCGGGAGGACCGGGAGAATTCCCGGTGGGCCGGTCCGTTTTTTGGCCGCGAGGGCCGGTGTCCCTAGTTCCAGAATCGGTTGCTCTCAGCAGTCACACTTTTTAAAAATTATTTATTTATTTACTTGACCACAGCCTTCTTATTCATTATTTTACCGCAGCTCTGCTCTTTTTATCTATTTTCACGTAGTCTCGTGGGCAGGATGCAAGTTAATGATGATATAACGAGATAAGTCGCCATACAACGTGCAGCTGTTGTGGTACAGTGGTTAGTACGATAGATTATAACGCGGCCAACCTGGGTTCGGTCCTCGTCTGAGAAACAATTTTTTTTTTTTTTTCATTTTTATTGTTAAGACATAATACTGTAAGGGTTGTTGAACATTTGAAGTTCTAAAGCAGCTGTTTTCTCAAAAAAAAGACGTGATAGTGTAATTAGAAACTGAATTGGAAATAACCTTATTTTAATATAGTCAGTGGTGAACTGAGGTGGGCCGGTCTGAGGCTTGAAACTCCAGGACTGAAAAAGAGTCCCACTCCAGCCCTGTGTGTATGTTTATTAAGGGCAATATGATGCAGACTCTAATGACAAAACATATTACCATTTTATGATAATATTTCCAGTTTATGCGGTAGTGTTGCAGTTAATTGAAGTTGATTTTAATTTTTGGCAGTAAAACTGGCTCTGTAAGCAGCTGTAAATCTCCACCAACACAGAGCCGTAGTTCACTGACAAGCAAATAATTGGCATGATATTAATATGGAAGAGAATCGGTCTTTGATTTGACAGCTGTTTGCGTGACGTCTCCGTGAACTATGGCTCTGTGTTGATGCTGATCTGAAGGCACGGGAAAATATGACATTTAATACCATGTTTTAGCTCCAAACTCACCTCATGAGAATGTTGAGCATGTGATGATGACAAAATGGTGGATGTAGTACGTCTGAGTTAGATTCATACTACTCGTATTCATACTGCATAGAAAGTACATTTCTAACGGTCAAATAGTAAATTCAAATGCCGTACCTACTGAGTAGTGGGCGATTTCCCACGCAGCCCTTGTCTCTTCTTTGTACGCCATTTGCAGCTTCTGCACAAGAGCGCCCCCTGGATTCTGGAGGAGATTTACTTGTAATCACAGAGCCGTGTTTACCTGACAAGATGTGCATGAGAATCACAGCCTTTTCTGTATTGTGATCTTTATTTGATTTTAATTAATCGTGCAGCCTTGAGAAGATGAGAGAACCCTCTGACTTTATCTAAAATATCTTAATTTCTGGCCTTAGAGGACTGGATAAATAACATAGTTTTCATTTTTGCCTGAATTAATCCTTTAATATGACTTTGCTGATTTATTTCATGTGTATTTAGCTGGTCAGAGAGACGAGAGGAGTGGAAGTTTCAGAAAACCAGGCAAACTTGGTTATTGCAGAACATGTACGACAGTGTTAAGGTATATACGAATCATAAATGACCTTCTTCTTTTTATAAAGTGTATTTTAATGTACTCTATCGTTGTAGAGTTTCTGAAATAAACAGAATTGATGCATTTCTGTGTGCTTCAGGTGCCTGATAGTCATTTTGATGTGCTGTTATCGTATCTTGACGGTCTTCGTGGATCTGCGAGAGATACCACACTGCAGAAAGCTGAAGTTATTTTGCGCTGGGACGGACAAGGAGAAAAAGAGGAAACACAAGATGCTGAAAAGAAGCAACAGAGAGCCAAACAAATCGTCCAGCTGCTATGAAACACTCAACAATACATCACAATATGGTGTTTTCTGGCTTCTCTTAAGAGACCGTTCACCCAAAAATATTAATTCTGTCACCATATACTTCCTCTTTACTTGTTTCAAACTTTGCTTTCTTCTGTTAAACACAAAAGAAGATATTTTGAGAAAGCTAACTATTGACTTCAATATCAGGAAAACAAATAGCTACTATGGAAGTCAATACTGGTTTTTAGATTTCTCCAAAATGTTTTTGTAGTTTTCAACATTACATGAATGTAAATAAATGATTTTATCTATGTATAGTAACCTGTGTTATTAATATCATTTTTGTTTTACATTTAAAAATTTAACAAGGTAGATTGTATCCTCACATGACCACTATGTTAGAAATGTACTCAATTTCTCAAAATTGTCCAAATGAGCACATTTATCTGTGAAAATGAAAATTAAAAGCGTTGTATTATTTACACCAAGCCAGTAGTTAGCCTACATGTAGTTGTTTTTATGGTTAAAATGATCTTATGTAAACATAATCTTGGATAAAAAGACCAAAAAAAGTATAAATTAACGAACATTTTAATCGTAAGCCACGGTCATTACCATAGTACGTGAATGTGCTAATCATGATAGCATTAGTGAATGTGCTAATCATTATGATAGCATTAGTGAATGTGCTAATGATACCTTTAGACAATGTAGTAGGTGACTGTTCGTGTACTTTATTTAATTTAGGGGGAGCAGTTGTGTTTATTTACTAAACAAATTGTAAACAGTTCTTACGCTTAAATACTGCAGCTACAGCACTTTTTGTTCAGCTAGAACACGTGAACTACATTTCCCATAATGCCGTACGTAGGCACTTTCATTTGACGTCACGCGTCTCGCCAGGTACAGAAGTCCATTGTACAGAATGAAAACAACTGTTGCATAAACTTCGTTAAATAAAGGGAGGCTGATCGTTTGTGCAGACGGATTTACATTCAGGTAAAGTAACTTTTGTACACTATTTTACGCTCTGTCGGGACTTTCCTCGCTGTTGCATTGCGGGAAAGTTGAACAAAGCAGCAGTATATTGGATGTGTTGGGGTTTAATAGGTTTTATCTGTTGCAGTTAGAGATATTAATTATATTGCATACAAGTGTTATGCGTGCTGTTTTGTGTCTTTTTAGGTTTATAATGGCAGAGAAACCTCAGTTAGTTAATAATTTGCCTGAGGATGTTGAGACTGATGAGTGTATGAACAAATACACACACATCTACAGCCCTGATCTGCTCAGGTAAACATATGTATATGGTTAAATATATATAGTTGCAAAAATACATATGTGTGTGTATATAAATTATTATTATCTATTAAAATGTTTGCTTGCAGTGATCAAGTAGCCTTCATAACCGGTGGAGGGTCAGGTATTGGATTTCGGATAGCAGAAGTTCTGATGAGGTTGGTCTTCATTTTTCACTGTAGTTTTTTTTTTCTGTCAACACTTTCTGTGGCTGTTCACCCACACATTTTCTATTACAACGTGATATATATTGAGCTTTAACCTTTGTGACCTTCTGCATGGTCAACTGTATTCTCAAATTCACCTCAGTGTATTTTCCAGTGGTACTTCAGGCGTCTTTTTAAGGGAAAAAAATCTGTCATTTATCCCCCTCCATTTGTTTTAAACCTATTTGAGATGATTTATTGGTTAATTGTAAGAGAAAGGTGCTGTCGCCTCACAGCAAGAAGGGTCGCTGGTTCGAACCTCGGCTCTGTTGGCGTTTCTGCGTGGAGTTTGCATGTTCTCCCTGCCTTCGCGTGGGTTTCCTCCGGGTGCTTCGGTTTCCCCCACAGTCCAAAGACATGTGGTACAGGTGAATTGGGTAGGCTAAATTGTCCGTAGGGTATGAGTGTGTGGATGTTTCCCAGAGATGGGTTGCGGCTGGAAGGGCATCGGCTGCGTAAAAAACTTGCTGGATAAGTTGGCGGTTCATTCCGCTGTGGTGACCCCGGATTTGTGAAGGGACTAAGCTGACAAGAAAATGAATGAATGAATGAATGAATGTAAGAGAAGATATTTTGAAAAGCTGGTTACCATTGACTTCTATAGCATCTTGAATGTATTTGTCATATATGTTAATAATTACTGGTTTCTAGCATTCTTATAAATATCTTATTTTATATCCAAAAGAAGATATCAAGAAGCTGGTAACCATCGACTTCCATTATATCTTTTTGTTCTACTATGGATGTCAATAGTTACTGGTTTCCAGCATTCTTATAAATATCTTATTTTATATCCAAAAGAAGATATCAAGAAGCTGGTAACCATCGACTTTCATTATATCTTTTTGTTCTGCTATGGATGTCGTTACTGGTTTCCAGCATTCTTCTAAATATCTTATTTTATATACAAAAGAAGATATTAAGAAAGCTGGTAACCATTGACGTCCATAGTATGTTTTTGTTCTACTATGGATGTCAATAGTTTCTGATTTCCAGCATTCTTCTAAATATCTTATTTTATATACAAAAGAAGTTATTTTGAAAACTGGTAACCATTGACGTCCATAGTATGTTTTTGTTCTACTATGGATGTCAATAGTTTCTGATTTCCAGCATTCTTCTAAATATCTTATTTTATATGCAAAAGAAGATATTAAGAAAACTGGTAACCATTGACTTCCATAGTATCTTTTTGTTCTACTATGGATGTCAATAGTTATTGATTTCCAGCATTCTTCTAAATATCTTATTTTATATCCAAAATAAGATATTAAGAAAGCTGGTAACCATTGACTTCCATTATATCTTTTTGTTCAACTATGGATGTCAATAGTTTCTGATTTCCAGCATTCTTCTAAATATCTTATTTTATATGCCAAAGTTATATTGAAAACTTGTAACCATTTATTTTCATTAATCTTTTTGTCCTACTATGGATGTCAATAGTTACTGGTTTCCATTATTCTTCTAAATATGTTCTTTTGTGTTCAACAGAAAAACAACAAGATAAGTATGATTAAACAGTGTGTAAATGTTTTATTTTTTTCGTAAGCTATCCTTTTAAACACATTTTTACTCTTACTCAGGCATGGCTGTGACACAGTCATCGCTAGCCGAAATCTGGAGAAGATCTCTCAGGTACTTTCCTTATAAAATCTTCAATAACTCACTGATATAATGGAGATTAATTCAATTTCTGATTATATTTTAGGCAGCAAAGAAGTTAACCAGCACCACAGGCAGGCGGTGTTTGCCGATCGCTATGGATGTTCGTCAACCAGAGACAATTTTGGCTGCTGTGGATGAGACCTTGAAGACATTCGGACGAGTTGACATTCTTATTAACAGTAAGACCAGTCTGTCCTAAAATAATAAAACAATTATGTTATAACGGGGCAAACAAGCACCTAGTGTCATTTATTGTTCAGTAATGTAATGTGATTACGTAATATTCAAGCACATGTACTTTTGTATACAGAGGTTATCTACAAGCACTCTTGCGTAAGAAAAAACAGCACATTCAAATGATTTACGAGAGATCCTGTGATGCTTAGTGACACTAAATTTAAATTTACAGTTCATTTATTTACCCTCAGGCCAGTGAATATGCAGATTTGTGTTTTCAGTAGAACATTAAAGAAGATTTTGAGCGATTGGTGATTTATATAATGCAAGTCATTGGTCATGATTAAAATATGAACACATACAAACAAGGCCAAATTAATCCCTGTGGCTCTTGATGATACACAAAAGTTTTATTTAGTGGAATTAAACAATATTAATAATATTATTAGCTGTTATATAAGCCTCCAATGACCACAAAATAATCCAAAAAATGTGTTAATGTTCTACTGAAGAAAAATACATCTTTAATGACCTGAGGGTGAGTAAATGAACAGGAAATGTTCCTTTCTTGGTAAACTATCCCTTTAAGACTGGTGTAATGATGCTAAAAATTTAACTCTGCATCACGTATACATGCACTCACTGCTGGCCCCTTTATTAGGTACAACTGTCCAATTGGTAGTTAACAAATTTCTAATCAGCCAATCACATGACAGCAAAAATGAAAGCATGTAGACATGGTCAAGACGATCTGTTGCAGTTCAAACTGAGCATCAGAATGGGGAATAAAGGGGATTTAAGTGACTTGGAATGTGGCATGGTTGTTGGTGCCAGACGGGCTGGTCTGAGTATTTCAGAAACTGCTGATCTACTGGGATTTTCACGCTCAATCATCTCTAGGGTTTACAGAGAATGGCCTGAAAAAGACAAACTATCCAGTGAGCGGCAGTTCTGTGTGCGCAAATGCCTTGATGGTGGCAAAGGTCAGAGGAGAATGGCCAGACTGGTTCCAGCTGATAGAAAGGCAACAGTAACTCAAATAAGCACTCATTACAACCGAGACATGCAGAAGAGCTTCTCTGAACGCACAACACGTCCAACCTTGAGGCGGATGGGCTACAGCAGCAGAAGACCACACCGGGTGCCACTCCTGTCAGCTAAGAACAGGAAACTGAGGCTACAATTCACACAGGCTCACCAAAACTGGACAATAAAAGATTGGAGAAATGTTGCCTCGTCTGATGAGTTTCGATTTCTGCTGCCACATTCGCGTAGTTGGGTCAGAATTTCGCATCAGCAACATAAAAGCATGGATCCATCATGCCATATCATAAAGCCTGAATCATCTCAGACTGGTTTCTTAAACATGGCAATGAATTCACTGTACTCAAATGGCCTCCACAGTCACCATACCTCAACCCTATAGAGCACGTTTGGGATGTGGTGGAACGGGAGATTCACATCATGGATGTGCAGCCGAGTATAGTATAAATCTATACTTTAAACACATCTATTTAACTGTGCATTTACTGAATAAAAACTATATGCTGAATAACACACTATTTGTGTCTTTCTTGCTTTTTTTGAGTTTAAATTCTTTGTTGTTGTTTTTTTCCTGATACATATTGCATTTTATGTTTATTTTATACTTCAGTAAAGCACTTTGAATGACTATTGTGTATCAAATATGTTTTATAAAATACTTGCCTTGCCTAAAGTCAATATAAATTCAATATCATATATATTTTTTTAAATTTCTCAGATGCTGCAGGTAATTTCTTGTGTCCGGCTACATCTTTATCATTTAACGCTTTCAAGACTGTAATGGAGATCGACACCATGGGAACTTTCAACACTAGTAAAGTCATCTATGACAAATGGTTCAAGGTAAAAAAAAAAGTGTATTTTTAAATATGTTTTATTTGACATAACTCCTTTATCAAACAAATCTCAGATGAGTAGCTTATTTTGATTTCTCCTCTTTTGTGGCTTTATTTGTTTCCCTCAGGATCATGGCGGCTCCATTGTCAACATTTCCGCCACTCTGGGGTACAGAGGTCAGGCTCTCCAGGTGCATGCTGGCTCAGCAAAGGCTGCTAACGGTCGGTTTATTTACTAGCATATGTTTCAGTTGGCTGCTTTGTAAATTCCTATTATTGCTTTTAATAAACATATCATACAGTAGTGGCCACAAATGACGTCTAACTAGGGAGAATTCATACCTCAACCTTTGTAAAATTCATACTTGACCATAAATGAAACATATGATGTTATTTTTATAATAATAAAAAATATTATTGTAGAATTTGTAACTATAGTGGATGCGCATAGTTGTTCTTGGAGATAGTAAAGATGTGCTTCACATTTCAGCTATTTCACTGGTGAACTAAGGTAATATTTATATGGATTCATGTTTTTCCTTATTCTAGAATGTATTATTTCAAAAGTTCACACTTAGCTGATGATTGATTATAAGCAAGTTTGGCATGCTGTCCCGGGAGAGAGCCCTGAGCTCAAAATTTCTTTGAGCCCTGGGCTCCCCCCCATTTGCAGGGCGAGAGGGGAGCCTTGAGCTCAGGTAAATCTTGACAACTCCCCCCTTGATAAGACCTAATGACTAAAATGAATGCTATGAAGAGATATGCTTCAGGGCCCGGTTTTTCAAAAGGTTTAATCCGGATAAAATTGATCCGGATTTAGTAATCCTGTTTTTGCGATCCGTGATCACGTAATCCAGCTTACTTTTTGAGCCAGTTTTTCAAAGCAACATCGGATTGGATCAATCTGATCCGGATAGGAACTTTTCAGGATCACTAAATCTGGATAACCAGTGCTCAAACAGCATAGGACATCACAATGTAGAACAATAGATATGTAAAGAGTAGGATAGCCAGCGTGGGGTCAATATAACTTTATTTTTATTTGAAATGAAAACTAAGAAAATTGAATAATTATTAAAATAATTATAATAATAAATAATAAAAACAAGAAAAACAACACCCCGTCCTCTTTCAGCAGTCCACTCATCTGAGACCTACAACACTGTACATTGAGTATATTTATAATAAGTTTCAAATATAGATATAAATAAAAAAAGACTTAATGTCAAAAACTCCACAATAATGTCAGACTTCCTCATCTGATGTGGAGAGACCAGCTTGTTCCTCTACCAGTTGAAGCTGTGCTTCTGCCCTTTAAGTCTCTTTTTGCAATTGTTGAAAGAGATTTTAAAAATCAGTCATTGCCATTGTTTGCATTTTTTTGGTATTCTGTAATCATTGCGTGCATCACTAATAAATATTCTAAAAAGAAAAATATTTTCCATTGTGATGTGTATATATATATATATATATATATATATATATATATATATATATATATATATATATATATATATATATATCAGTTAGTGAAAGAATAAAATTGATTGTTTTTGGTCTGTTTTCACAGCTGTTTGGGGGGTTATTTTATGAGGCCAAACTCGTTCTACTTTGCTGTAGGCCTATACTGAAAGGCTGAATACCTTAAAGCCTATACTCACTATAGCCTGACGGATGTACAAATAAAATTAAAACCTTATGAATCAATAGTAAATCTTGTAAAATATTGTATGATCCAAAAATAGATATATTTAATACATTTTTTAAGTTTTCATTACATTTTGGACATGTAATCCACGCTAAATCCACCCTTCTGATGGGATCAGTTTAATCCAGATTTTTTGGATCAAAGTGATCCAGATCCTACAAAAAAGGTCTGAAAAACCCAAACTAAAGGTTTGATCTGGATCAAAACCAAGATTAGATTACGTGATCTAATCCGATTAGGTAATCCGTTTTTTTCTTTTGAAAAACCCATTTTCAAGATTTGATCCAATCCCTTATCCAAAATCCTAGTGGATTACTTTTGAAAAACCGGGCCCAGGAGATTGACTGTAGTGCCAAATTTTACATTTGATCGATTCACTTATTGTGCATGTTTTTGGAATGTGGGAGGAAACCAGAGAACCCCGGGAGAACCCACGCGAGCACGGGAAGAACATGTAAACTATGCACAGAAATGACCTCCGGCCTGTTAAAGGACTAGAAGCGGTGACGTTCTTGCTGTGAGGCGACAGTGCTAACCACTGGGCCACCGTGCCGCCCTATGGAGGGAAAGGTGAAGAGGTAGGGGTGGAAGGGGGGATTCTTCAAATTGAAGACGACTGTAGTGAAAAACCCTGGCTTTTTATAGTGGGTTAGGAATGGCCTGATTGGTGGATCATACATGCTAATGCAGAACCAGCCGTGTTCAATCGTAATCACGTGATCCTCTCGAAATTAGTTTATGAATAAACTTCACAAAGCAAACAAAATAATGACTCTTATATGATTAACAGAAGACACAGCTAAAATGCCAAACTGAATTTTTTCCACCTTTCAAACCACTAGGTTTACGTTTTTTAAACTTATTTACAATATTAATTTAGTGTGATCGCTTATTTCTATATATATAAATTATATGATTGAACATTATTTCACTATTATTTTAATTATTAGACTTTAGACATTATTTGAAACATTAAAACACACACTTTACTGACATTTAGTATTCTTTGTGTATACTGTAGCTATTATTAGCTATTATTAGCTTCTATGAAATTTTTATCATTATTATTATTTTATTTTTATTTTTTTTAAATATGTTTAATGAGATTTCACCACATTTTTAAACATGATAGTTTTAATAACTAATTTATTTAGTCTTTGCAATGATGACAGTACATAAAATTGTAATAGTAAGTATTATAAATAATGTTTTAACTTAAATTCAATTTAAATGCTTAACTTTACTAATTACGTTAATTAGGCAAGTCATCAAACAACAGTGGTTTGTTCTGTAGCCAATCAAATAAAATTCGGAAGGATGCTATTAATGTTGAATGTTTTAAAACATAATAAAAAAATATTTATATTTATATTAACTATAAGAACTACAGTGACAACTTCCTTCCCCTGTTAGTCATCACTTGGGAAAATATTTTTGTCTTCAACTGTATTTATAAACTCACTTTAATACATTTAATTTGACACCATTACCATAATGAGTTATCTCCCCATCACTGTGTGTTTATAGATGCCATGACGAGGCATTTAGCGGTGGAGTGGGGCCCCAGCGGTGTGAGGGTGAACACCGTGGCTCCAGGGCCCATCTCTGGCACAGAGGGATACCGCAGACTGGGTAAAACTGGATATGTGTGCCAACACTAATTCTAATCTCACTATTAGTCAAAATGTGAATACAATTGTGTTGTTGACAGTAAATATCTCAAATTTCCATAATATTAGATATTAGTAAATATCTAATACATTTTAGCTGTAGTTTTTAACTAATATTAATATTATGTCTGTAATATATCAGGATTTTTCTATTTTAATAAAAATCTTATCTAATTTACGTATTAGTTTTTTGTTTATTTGTTTTTTAAGTGTACATTTATTCATGAAATGTTCTTACCATGAAATAGTCTTTATTGCTGACATGACATTAAACATGCCCGTAGCCAGGGGGGTTCGGGTGGTTCAAACGAACCACCCCCAAACGGTCCAGAATTTGTCCTTTTAATTATTTTATGTAATTTAAAATTATATAATGTATTTATTATATAATGAATATAATATATTTATATTCAATATATATTGTAATAAAGAGTAATCTTAATTAACTCAGCCAGTAATTGGAATCCCATAGAGCACAATAATGTGACGCGAGTCATGTGACAACCCACTGAGTGATCACATTTGAATCTTTGATGCGACATCCATACTGAGTAACCCTGTGGGTCGAAAAGAGCAAGAAGGCAGAAAAGGCAGGCAGTGGCGTCATTATTGTAAAATATTGAACATATGTTCGAAAAGACTGCCAAACAGGGTAAGGCTAAAGTATACTTACTTCCTAACAGATGAAAATCTGCCCCTATCCCATGAGGTTCTAGGCCAGGGGTGTCAAACTCAATTCCTGGAGGGCCGAAGCCCTGCTCCAACACACTTACCTGTAGGTTTCAAACAAGCCTGAAGGACTCAATTAGTTTGATCAGGTGTGTTTAATTAGGGTTGGAACTAAACTGTGCAGAGCTGCGGCCCTTCTGGAACTGAGTTTGACACCTGTGTTCTAGGCTAACTGGCCCCATTAGCCGGGATGTCCTGTATTTTTATTGACTTGTCCAGTACATGATCTCCCTTTCCCTATTTTTGACATAATTTTTTTTAAATGACTGTCCGACGAAGGCTTTAATGGCAAGCGGAGTACAAAATGGACAGGTATAATTATTTTTTGGACAAAATTAATATAAACAAAATAAATTATGACGTGGAGAAAATCTGACCTGCGCCTGAAACACCTGTAGGTGCGCTTTTTACAGACTTTAACAGACTTTAACAGATTGCTATTTGTCTTAATGATATATGATGTAATAAATTTGTATTTAAAAAATTTATCTTGTTTGACTTTTTTTAAGTGGAATTTTTATTCAATATTTTTAGTACATCAAAAAGTGTGGTTATTATAAAATCTGACTAACTAATCCAGCAAAAAAAGTCACTAAAATGCAGTATTTAAATGTCATAGTTAAATAGAAACTGAGGCTTATAACTGCAAAAAGGTCATCTTTTTGAGAAAAAAAGAAACACCCCTTTCACCAGGCTGGCTATGGGCCAGTTAAATCAAAATACGTCATCATCATCGTCATCATCTGCTGATTAACTAACATTCACTTATTGTAAAGTGTTACCTAATGTACTTTATAAACCTTTTGCAATTTAATTTGGCTGAAATATTTGTTTAATCCTAACTTGTGTATCCAATAAACCAATACACAAAGTATTTTTGGTTATTATACCTGTTAAAGTCATCTTTTTTGCAGTTTACATCTATACCGTGATAAAAGATTCAGCATCTAATCACAGCAAGAACATTCTGATGTATTCATAAGCCTATTCACTAAACCACTCACCTCTTATTGTTTGTGTTCAGGTGGTTCACATGCTGAGACCGCAGGCGCTTTCCACAGCATCCCGTTACAAAGAGCTGGAAACAAGACGGAGATGGCGCACGCGGTTTTATTCTTGGCCAGCCGCGCCTCCTCGTACGTCACTGGCTCTGTATTGGTCGCCGACGGAGGGGCGTGGCTTACTTCAGCCAATGACGTGGAGCGGCTGTTGGGTATTGTCTCATCTCGCTCTGCAAAACTATGAACAGACTGCACCGCACACAGGTGTGTGTGTGTGTGTCTGTGTGTGCGTAAGGTAGACGACAGGGGTTTGCTGGATATACAATTTAAGTCAGAATTATTTGCCCTCCTGTGAGTTTTTAAAAAAAATATTTCCCAAATGATGTTTAACAGAGCAAGGAATTTTCCACAGCATTACCTGTAATATTTTTTCTTCTGGAGAAAGTTTTATTTAGGCTAGAACAGGGGTGCCCAAACTTTTTTTGTGTAGTGGGGCGAAGGTAAATATACCAAACTCTATTCCATTAAATTTGCCGTGGGTAATTTTTCTAATTTATTTAATATATAATAACAACTAGAAAACATTGCTTTATATTACCTAATGCTGTTTCTATCTTTTAATTTTATAGTGAACTTATTACAGTTAAAAACAATCTCATTGTCCGCTTAGTGGTTAAAGCGCCAACATACGGTGCAGTAGCACTTCAGGGCGTCCTGAGTTGGAATCCCGGCTCAAGGACATTTCCCAACCCTACGCCTTTCTCTCTCTCCCACTTCGCTTCCTGTCTCGTTACTGTCCTATCTAATAAAGACAAAAAGGCCAAAAATAAATCTTTAAAAAAAAAACAATCTGATTTATAACAGAATGGGGTTACACTAGTCAAGCTGCTCCTGTTTTTGCCTTGATTTGCTCGCCGATGTCTTCTAAATTATCCTCTCGTCGAGTAACAGTGCTTTTGTATGTTTTAAAAATCAAATTCGTTTACAAACATGTACAGTAAGTGAAGCATTTAATTTCAGTTTGCTTTTTTGTAGCTCAACAATAAAACAAATCAGAAAGGTTATGTTAAATTAGAAATTACGATCTCTGTTAAAGGCAATCGCTCCAACCCTTCCCATCATTCTCACTCTCTTCTCAGACGGGATGGTGGGCCAAATGAAAGGTTCAAAAAATCAGCATGCTGCCACTTTAGCTCTCAAAAAGTCCTTTAACATCACAACGTTTCGACTTAAATGGTCTTCATCAGGGAAAACAATACAAATTGGAGTTCTCGAGAAATAGTGATACAGCTCTACACATCACACCTGCAATCAATCACCCCAATAAGCCAGTAAAGAGGCACAAATACATACAACAATATACATATGACAATATGGAAGACATGCACACCATTACAGAAATAAGTAAAATTGCAGGTGTGATGTGTAGAGCTGTATGACTATTTCTCAAGTACTCCAATTTGTATTGTTTTACCTAATGGAGACCATGTAGGTCGAAACCTTGTGATGTTTAAGGACTTTTTGAGAGCTAAAGTGGCACTGTGCCCATTTTTTGATTCTTTGCTACTTTGTTTATTTTTGATCGAGCACCTGCCTTTGAGATTTTTAGATGTGCGCACATTTGTTTCGTTTGCTTTCCAAATTAAAGTTTACGATGGGCAAACTTCGACCCGTGGGCCCTAGTTTGAGCATCTCTGGCCTAAAATAAAATCAGTTTTTTATTCTTAAAATATCATTTTAAGGTCAATATTATTAGCCTCCTTAGCAATATTTTTTTCGACTGTCTGCAGAACAAACCTTCATTATACAATGATTTGCTCAATTACCCTAACCTGCTTAATTAACCTAGTTAAGACTTTAAATGTCACTAAGATGAATAATAGTATCCTGAAAAAAATCTAGTCAAATATTATTTATTGTCATCATGACAAAGATAAATTAAATCAGTAATTAGAGATGAGTTAATAAAACTATTATGATTAGAAATGTGTTGAAAAAAAATCTTCTCTCTGTTAAACAGAAATTGGGGAAAAATATATATACAGGGGGGCTAATAGTTCTGACCTCAACTGTATGTAGATCAAATAATTAATATAATTATTATAATAATTATTTAAAACCTCAGTCATAATCAGGAAATTAATTCTAAAATCTTGTCAGTAAACAATTTTTTTCCAATTAATTTTTTGTTATTAAATGATTCACTACTAAATATATGTGTATACAATTCTGTTAAATATCACACAATGTCATTGTAACTTGCATTTTCCTTGTGTTTTTAGGTTTTTGGATGGCAGAAAAAAGAAAGGATAAATAGCAAGAGGATGAAAAAAATGCAATGAATCTGCTGAAGTACATTTGAATGAGAATTGTTGAAACGCGGGTTATTCTTCACCCCAAAATCAAGGAAAAGAAGTGATGATGATCTGCTTAAAAACTAATTTTTAAACAAACATATTATTTTGTGACACTTTTTTTATTATAAATGAGCACAATGTCACCCAAAATTCCTAACAAGACTTAAAAATGCTTTTTACTTTTGACAAAAAAACAAAAGTGTCAAGAAAAGTTAGTTTTCATTCCTTTTCCACAGTTATGGTAGTTAGAATAAGTTTCCTTTGTCTCATTACTGTAATGAATGATTTTTCCCTTCAGAATATGAGGTGAAATATGACTTGAACAGATTGTTATAACCCTTGTGTCGTCTTAACTGTTGTTAGACATTTCTAGCAAATTATTCACGAAAGGTTTAGCAATTATATTAGATTAAAATATCCACTTATAGCAGCATTAATATAAATAAACCTTCAACACTACATAACTTAGTGCTGTTTTCTAAATTTTAACTGTTTTATATTCACAGACTGTGCTCCATGAAGACATTTGGTCAATTTCCTAGAGTAAATATATAAAAACTCACACTTTAAAGACGATTTTCTCAGATTTTGCATCATTTTGAACGTCAGATACATGTTTTTCAAACAAAAGTGCAAACATTTGTATTTCTATTGTATTTTACATAACAGTTTTCATAATAAATCATTTATAATAATTACCAATATTACTTTTCTGACTGTTATTAATTGTTCCCCCACACGGGGGCGCAAGAAAGTCAAAGTAAATATCTGGAAATACCACTAAGCGTTTATTTGTAGACGACAGTTGTTCAGTTTAATTCTAGCAAGCTGTCTTGATTATTTCAATCATAATTCTACATCTGTTTTCAATCTTAAACTACGGCGTCATGATAATCCAGGCAAACGCAGGCATAGAAAACGGGATGGATTCTTGACGCCTGTGGTTTAAAGAGGCAGACTGCGGCGCCGGCTCTGCGCATGCGTGTTGCTGACGTCGGTTTGTGTGTGTGTGTGTGTGTGCGCGCGCTCTCGTGTGTATGTGTGTGTGTGTGAGTGAGACAGCAGAGGTTGTGTATTGCTGCTGATGAGAGAGGGAGACAGATATAACAGAAACATCATCCGTTGATTAAACAAAACAACAGCAACAGGAGTTCGCTAGCTCATCTAAAACCGCGGATGTCAGATTAACGGATAAATCGCCGCCGAGGGATTGAGATAAAAGAGCATCGCGCTTTATTCGCGGGATTATCGGTGGTCTTCATCCCGCTAACAGGCTAATAACAAGCGCAGGTGGATGACTCGCGAGACTCGACCTGGATTTTGGCCTGTTTTTAAGAAAGATGAATTGAGGAATAACACATTCACGTCAAACCAAATTGAAGGATTTAATCGACTCTGAAGAGAAATCGGAAACATCATAAATGTCTTTTTTTTTTAGGGGAAATCAAATGAGAAGGGGTCGTGTGGGCCAGCTAGTCGGCTATTAGGTTTACCTCAGATGTGTAGGCTGTTGATGCTAACCGCACTGGAACAATCTATCATTTAAGGGTTTTTTTTTAGTATGGAACAATGACAGCTGTTTAAAAATAGTCTGCTGTGTTTAACATATGAAAAAGAGAGATATGTTAAGCTTTGTTTACTCAGATTGCTCGGCAATCTGGTTAATCTGAGTAAAACGTTTGAAATAACTGCCTCGTAATAGGATAAACTGTGTATAAAGAGAGTTTAAACATTATAACCAGATTTGAATACTTAGTAGTTTATTCCAGGGAAGTGTCAAGCCTCTTATAAATGATTTACTTGATGTTTTTGTAGCACTAGCAAGTTAAAGATTACAAGTTAAATCAACCCAAATGAAATTTGTGTGATATTTGCAATTATACAGCTCTTTATTCTATGAAATGTCCTACATGGTGTATTTTTCATTAACAACATTAACAAGAAGTAACCTGAAATACTGAGGTAATCCAGTTAAATTGGATGGGAGTGACCATGCTTTTGAGAACACTTGTGTTAAATGGATTAGATGAATGCAAAACAGGGAAGTAAACTCAACTTTTATTTATGGAGAGGTTTGCATATTGGGAGAAAAAAAGTATCGCAGCTCGCATGGAGCTGAGCTGCAACAGTGAAACCTTATCCTTGTGTCCGCAAATGTAAACAGTAGTTGATCATTTACAGGGAGGTGGACGCTTACGCATGGGTCTCGACAAGGATATTTCTTTTGGTGCGTATGCTGGAAGAGGTCACCAATTGCTTTTGAATTCCGAACATTATTACCTTGTGGGATCATAACAAAGGACTGGAATTTCTGGAATATTTCCATTTAACAGAGAGAGCTCGTCTTTTCAATGGAGCAAGTTCTCTCCAGCCCCCAGGGGTGTTCTGAGTGGGAGGTAAACGGAAAAACGGAGTGGGAATCCGATCAGAATCCTCTGGGATTTCTCCTTGTGGATAAAGAGAACAGTTCTGTTGCAGATCCTACTAATGAAATTTTTCAGGAGAATGCCATAAACCTAGATGACTTATTTTGGGCGTCTCAGACGTATTCCTGGGAAAATGGTTTGGATTGTGTTTATCCTGAATGGAAGGCTCAGCCTCCTCCTTCCCAAGATCTCAAAGGAGATGGTAATTCTGGAATTTCACAACTTGTTGAAGGAGATCTCATCTGTTTTAATTCTAGATCTGCAAGTCCTTCGTTGGCGGACAGACCAGTGCAGGACAACAACCTTTATGACCATGCTGAACAGGTGGAGGTTACTGCCACTTCAAGCACTTTAAATGTGTGCACAGGTGAGCTGGGCATTAACGCCCCCACCCTTCACACTGACAAAACATTATTACAAGACACACACCTTATGCTTGAAGAGTCGCATTTAACAAACTGTGAGTTCAGTTGTAATTCTGGTGTGGAAAACGAAAGTCAGAACTTCCTTTCACATGGGACTCGTAACATCCTGGAATCTGAAGGTTTGTTTGCAGTTTCTCCTGTGGAGGTGTCTTGTGTGGATACAAACTCAAATCCCAAGCCTACAATTGTTTGTCAGACACCTCCTTTGGCATCTGAACACATCTACCTCTCATCCTCAGCCCTTCCCTGTGAGCCTGTCTTTCCGATGACATGCACAAAGCCACATGTTCCGCCATATCACGCGGGTAGTGCAACACTTCCAATGGATGAGGTAGAGATGATGTTACCCAAACTTCAAGGTGGAGAAGGGGAGAGTAGTAAACCTTCAGCTAATAACAGGACCCTTGAGCCCCAAAGGCTAGATGCTAACACGGACACAACACATCTATCAGTGTGTCCATTAGGAGAGTCTGACATATCACCTGAACATTGTGAGGAAATGCTGCATGAGTTGTCAACAAAATGCACAGTGGAAATGGTTGAAGAGGAGGTAAATAAGAAGTCTGTGTCAAGCAACACAACTAATACTGCTTTTTCCAAACCCAAAACAGAACTTTGTGAAGAATTGTCAGGATGCACATTAGGTGTATTATTGGAAACAGTCAGTGGAGACGTAAAGGAGGAAGCTGCGTCGGACTCTAGAACTGATCATGTTTTTCCTGAAACTCAAACAGATCTCGCACCAGTTGCTTTAATCGATTCACAAGCAGAAGATCCTTCAACTGAAAGCTTACCTAGGAAAAATGGACAAGAGGAGTCCAAATCAGCCTTACCGGTCAGCACACCTGAGCATAATGCCTTATTTGAGCTCTCATCAGGAAATGTCGTGTTACCTGAGGACCACAGCCAGTCAACATTCTCAGCTCAGACTCAAGCCTTATCTGAGGTCGACCACGATGGAGACCTTACTCCTGATGGCATGTTAACAGACAACATTGTTTGCGAAGCCGTGACATCTATAGACTCTGTAATTCTATCTCTAACAGATTCATTTGAACTCCCAAAACTGTCTGACTGTGATTTAAGTTCACATGATTTTGAATCCCATGCACTTACACTTGAAATTCAGAATAATGTGACATGCGTTCAGACAGGCAGCGTTGACAATAACCCTGAGGAAATGGTGAAACTCTACTCAATAAAAACAGATAATACAGAGATTCCAGACACACTCATGGATTTAGAAATCTCGGATTTACATCAAAATCAACAAGATTTAAAAAGCAAGTCTGACTATTTGCTGAATGATTTACTCCATGACAACAATCAGGAACCAAATGCAAAAACTGACGCCTGTCAGGAACAAATCAGTGCTCAAAACAATGAAAACACACTTGTTGAAGATCTCGCTCTTGTGGACCAACGGAATGACTCTTTGACCACGAAATCAAGTGCAATTGCATTCGAAAATAAATCTGAAAAAAATCTAACCAGTCACGATATGGTGCAGAATGTCGAAGCCAAACATCCAACAGATTCATTTGAACTGTCAAAACTGGTGGACTGTGATGCAAATTCACATGATTTTGAATCTGATGCACTTGCACTTGAATTTCAGAATAATCTAACATTTATTCAGACAGGCAACGTTGACGATAACCCTAAGGCAATGGAAAAAGAGATTCCAGACACACTAACAGATTTAGAGATATCAGATTCACATCAAAATCACCAAGCAACTGATTTAGGAAGTCAGTCGGAATATTTGCAGAATGATTTACTCCATGACAAGAATCTGGAACCAAGAACTAATGCCTGTCAGGAACAAATCGGTGCTCAAAACAAAGAAAACCCACTTGTGGAAGATCTCGCTCTTGTGGACCAACTGAACGACTCTTTGACTGCAATATCAAGTGCAATTGCATTCGAAAATAAATCTGAAGGAAATTTACTAAGTCATGATACACTGCAGAATGTCGAAGCCAAACCTCAAACAGATTCATTTGAAACCACAAAACTGGTGGACTGTGAAGCAAATTCACATGATTTTGAATCCGATGCACTTGCACTTGAGTTTCACCATAATCTAACATGTATTCAGACAGGCAGCATTGACAATAACCCTAAGGCAATGGAAAAAGAGATTTCAGACACTCTTACAGATTTAATACTCTCAGATTTCCATCAAAATCAACAAGCAACCAATTTAAAAAGTCAGTCGGAATATTTGCAGAATGATTTACTCCATGACAACAATCAGGAACCAGGAACTGACGCCTGTCAAGTACAAATCAGTGCTCAAAACAAAGAAAACTTTGTGGAAGATCTCGCTCTCGTGGACCAACTGAATGACTCTTTGACCATGAAATCAAGTGCAATTGCATTCGAAAATAAATCTGAAGAAAATTATGATACACTGCAGAATATCGAAGCAAAACCTCGAACAGATTCATTTGAAATTACAAAACTAGTCAACTGTGATGCAAATTCACATGATTTTGAATCCGATGCACTTACACTTGAGTTTCAGCATAATCCAACATGTATTCAGACCGACAACGTTGACGATAACCCTGAGGCAACGGATAAACAGCACTCAAAAACAATAGATCACACAGAGATTCTAGACACACAAATGGATTTGGATATCTCAGATTTACACCAAAATCAACTAGAAACCCGTTTAAAAAGTCAGTCAGACTATTTGCAGACTGATTTAGTCCATGACAACAATCAAAAGCCAAAAACTGATGCCTGTCAGGAACAAAGCAATGCTCAAAACAATGCGAACCCACTTGTGGAAGATCTCGCTCTTGTGAACCCCCTCACTGACTCTTTGACTGTGAAATCAAGTGCAATTGCATTCGATAATAAATCTGAAGAAAATATACCAAGTCATGAAACGCTGCAGGATGTTGAAGCCAAACCTCACAGTGTGACTTTACAGGGAGGGGAGAGATCAGATTGCAGGTCACCAACTCGGAATCAAGTCATACCTCATTGTGCAAGTAATCCTGATTCTTTAGAGTCCACTCCCTTTACCTGTACAGATAATCAGCTGACCGTGACGGGTGGACTCGCTGGGCTGGATCTCACAGAGACTACTAGCCAATCAGGTGAAGCTTCAGGCGAGGGGGAGGCGGGGCTTCCTGTTCTGCCTACACATCAGGAGGATTTCCATCAACTGACACCATCAGAGATAAACCTAGCACAAGAGCAACAAGTGAGCTCAGTCGTCCCCAGCTCTCCTCCCTCACACAGAGATGTCTTTCCCTGTGGAGCCAGCCTGGATGGAGAGGCCTACCTGACCTTGATGGAGAACAATCCTGATACTCTCAAACATGCAGAAATGACTCTAGATCTGTGCAAGGCCTCAGACGCTCTGCCGACCAAATCGCTCCAAATTGCGCCTGTGGATTTGATTCATGTGCCTATAGTTTCCGCAACAGCCCCTAGAAGTGAGGAGCAGTCTGCTCTCAGAGCAGTTTTCCAGGCTTTGGATCAGGACGGAGATGGATTTGTTCATATTGAGGAGTTTATTGAGTTCGCAAAAGCCTACGGAGCCGAACAGGTCAGTGTTTTTGGCATATCTATGTCTATTTGTGTAAGTTTGTGGGTGGTTAAATGATGGGTGGTGGGTGTGAGTGTTATAAAAAAATGCTTTATGATTACAGGACAGTGTGTGTCTTCACTTGGGCTCCAAAGCCCAGAGCGAAACTTGAGCTTGGTGACACCCAAGAACTGCTCTTTTATTATTCAAACCCTCAACGACTCTTGTTCTGGATCTCTCGCTTTCATGAAGGGCTTTTCTGTTTTGAGGCTGAGCAGATTGTGTCAGTTTTAGGAAACTCTACAAGTGTTTAAGTGATGGTTCACTTAAAAATTTTAATTTTATCATCATTTGCTCATCTTCCATTTGTTTCAAACCTCTTTGAGTTTCTTTTGTTGAACAAAAAACAAGATATGCTGAAGAATGTTGAAAAAACAGCCATTGACTTCTATAGTTTTTTTTACTATGGATGCCAATGGCTGCTTTTTCCTAACATTCTTCAGTATAAGGGTTGCACGGTTTACCGGTAGTATGGTAGTATAGTGATACTGTGGCTCCAAAATACTGCTGATGCCTCTGTAGTTTTTAAACTAGTATCGTCATTAATAGTCTATATACAATACCTAGTGTTGCAGGTGGATAAGTCACTGGAATGCTTACATGTAGGGATGCAATAAATATAACTTTTGGTTGTATGATTATAGTCTAAGAAATAATCGTGGTTATCTTGATTATTTGCATTAATTGATTTTAAAACGCCACTAGTTTAAAATTTTTTTACATTTTGCTTTGTAGTTCGAGCCCAACTCAATACTTGTTGCTGTTCTAATCGTTTAAGTTCATTTAATTGATTATATGAAAATCAGTGGATATTCTTGATGCATTTATTGGGTAAAATTGCTCCCAAATTGTTTTTTTTGTAACTAATTTTGTTCGGTATAATTTGTATCGTGATTTTAATGTGCATTTTGCTGGTCTGTTATCTACAAAATAAACAAAAAGAACGAATACATTTTAGAGAACGTAACGTGCAAATAATAGTTTTTACAATAATAATTGAATTATGAAGTAAATTCAAGGAGACCTAATATAACATTTTAAAATAGTATTTCTGACAATTTTTATTATTTCATAGATTTGAGTTATGAATTACATTATCGCAATACTACTTGGTATCACGATACTTCAGCTGGTATAGTATCATTATATGAATTAATGGTATCGTGATGACCCTATTCAGTACATCTTGTTTTGTATTCAACAGGAGAAAGAAATTCATAAAAGTTTATAACCACTTGAGTGTAAGGTGATGGTGAGGGAAGTTTTAATTTTTGGGTGAACTATCCCTTTAATACACTTTTCAGTGCTTTGTAATGACTTGCTACCCAAGTTATTTTACTTCCAAATATGAGATTTATTCATCTAACATGTTTATAAATTGAATTGCATAGAACTTTCTTAAAATATAAACTATTTGTAGTAATATTACTTTTTCATTGCAGGCTGTAATGTAGTCCATTGTACAAAAAAAGAAGCAAAAATCAGAGTTGTTTATAATGCAGTTAATGGGACCAGATTTTTAGGATAGTTCTGAGCTTTCAAGCTATTCTATTTCATGGAATTGCATTGTTCTATAGGTGGAAATATTGTTGCATAGAAATAGTATGATTGTTATAAACTTCCAACAATATACATTTTATTTTCAAACTATTTCTAATAATTTAAAAGCGTTTTCTGTTACATTACACATTTCTGTTGAAGGTGTCTTTGAGATTTGAGCTTATTTGAAAGAAAAAGGACAAGTTTATTTTTGTGACAAGTACTGTCATTTGAGTTTAATTTGTAGTAAAACTGAACTATTCCTCAGAGTAGAGCGGTTAGCATAAATGTTGCATAATTGACACCTGAGCTTGAGGTTAATCAGTAATGGGATGTATTGGTTTGTGTGTGTGATTCAGTTCATCGAACATGTTTATTTTGCACTAGTTGGTTTTCATATTCTGTGCATTGTATTTGTACGGTATTCAAATGCTATCAGTGGTTATTTTGCAGTTCAGATGAGAATATAGATTTGCATTCCCTGTTAACTTCTGATCCCCAGACACGCGCCATTGTGTGTTTAAGAGAGGATGGATTTGATGCCGGAAGTCTGGCTCTTTTGTGGCTGTTAAAACTGCTGATCTGATCAGCTGAAAGGTTAAATGGGCAGATGAACGATAGGGAGGGGCAAAAATGGACAAATGGATGCTTTGATTATTTTTTTTTTATCATTGGAATTATTATTTTTTTAAATACACCACTGTACATGGTTAAATACATATCGTCACTTTAGAATTATGAGGTTCTATCTGACATTTTTATCAAAATTAAGTTACTGACATTCTTATTAAATAACAACTTGTTTACATTATGGGATGTTTAGTAAGACGTTTTAAGACTTTTTATTCACTAAACAAATGTTACACACATACTGTTTGCTATACGCAATGCAAAAAACTTTGAAGCTCAATATCTCAAAATCATTCAGAATGCAGATAGAACTTTATAATTTCAAGGTGAAGATATGTTTAATAGTTCTCTGATATATAAATAGTAAGTATTTAGAATAGGTCTGTGCAAAAGTCTACAGAAACTGTTTTACATGTACACTTATAATCTTAGAATTTGACTCTAGGATACAAAGGTCTGATTTGACCATATTTGGAAGGGTTGTGAACAGGGTGAGAATTACAGCGGGGTTTGGAGGGATTGACCCCCCCTAGGTAATGCATGATCCCTCCTGAAGGACATCAAAAAGATGGATGTATCAGGGGCAGCCCTTTAATAGTAAGAAATTGCTCAGATCTGTGATCTATATCTTAACTATTAATAATTAAATATGTATAATATAAATATATATTTGACCTCTAAAATATTCTTTAGATCAGTGTTCCTCAACTGGTGGGTCGGTCGCGGGAACATTTTCAGTCGGTCGTGGAGTGTGTGATAAAAAAAAAACAACTAAAGTAAATTTTTTTACTTATTTGCTTATCCCGTACTTTTATTTTGAAATGCGTGCGCCACAACCCTACCGTTTGACATGTAAAATTTCATTTAATTATTGCAATAAATATGTCAAGCACAAATACGACCCTGAATATGTAAAGTATGGATATATATATTGACGACAAAAAAGACTTAAAGCCTCAGTGTCATATGTAGTGAGGTGCTCTCATAAGAGAGCATGAAACCTTCTAAATTAAAACAACATTTAGAAACCAGAAAACATGTTTTATTAACAGTTTATTATTAACAGTATTTGTCATTTTTGTAATATTTCTGTTAATTTGATCCATTTTGTTAAATGACAGCAATAAAATAGTGTTTATTTGTAAGCCTTGGTGATTTTTTTATGATGTATCTGTCACTACTTGTTTATGTAAACAAATAAATACAAATTAAGTATAATTCCTAAAATTGTATTATAGTTCCTAAAAATTTGGGTCACGGCTTTATGACCATGTAAAAATGTGGGTCCCATGGCCAAACCAGTTGAGAACTCCTGCTCTAGATAACCATCAAAACACTGAAAACGTATAAATTTAATTAGAAGTTTGTTGCAATTTAAATAAATCATATATTTGATTCACTGAAGCATGTATTACCAAACTACTACCTTAAAAAGTTGACCCCCCGATCGTCAATGTGTTTCGCACACTGGTCATGAATATTAATGAGCATCCCAGCAGCTCATGTCAGTGCCTGCTCACACACAGTGTGATGTACTCTGAAATATACACGCATGTAAAATAATCATACTAGGGTTTTGGTACTAGAATTCTGTACCAACGATACTGGAATTCGGTATCAATCGGTATTGAAATTTTGAGCGCTGTTGAGCACATTCTTAAACAGTGCTGATTTGCCATTGTATTCACATGCTCAACAGAAATGACTGTGATTGGACGTGAAGGTATTCAGTTTACCAAAATCACCACCGTTTACTGTGTGTAACCCAAGTGTGCCGCAAGCCTACGTTTGAGTGAAGGTTTCGGCCGTTAGATCGCCCCCTGGGGGCTGGCTGCAGTACAAGTCATAAAGCCCGCCTCCTCCGTGTTAATGAAGGAGACTTGAGCCCAAATAAAAAAAAATATTACACTTGCAATAAAATGTCCCGAAAGATAGTTCTGGTCGATTAAGGCACTGGTTATTGTGCTGAAATAGGTGCAGATCTTCATTTTTGTAAACAGTTTGTTTTTAGCAGTAATTTAATGCTGGGCGTGTCATCGTGATTGACAGCTGTGATTGACAGTTTCTCAAAGCGCGGCGTCTGAGCTTCGGCAGGAGACTGAAGTAGACTGAAATGTTATTATTCGATTTCTGTGTTATTTTACCATGACAAAATGAGTTCAGCAGTAAACTATAGTTTCTGACATACATGATCCTGGTGGAACACTGTTTATTCGCTAAGTTCAGGGCTTTTTTCGGGCTTTATTAGTTTGCTGATACACGCCTAGCCAACCAGATAGCCACACACAGTTCCGGCTAGATTCTCGCCTGCCGGAGACTTATCTCTTTGAGCTCAGACTGACTAATGTTACCTCTGCTGGACCTACTCCGGATGCCTGGACTCACTGCCCGATTCCAGTCCGAGTCAATCGAGCCAGATGCGGCGGCCGAGCGAGCAGACGCTGCCGCATGCGAGCCGGAATCAGCCCGCGACGCCGCGAGTAAGTTATGCGCTGCGGCCTGAAGCTGGCGCGATTGAATATATAAAACCCTCATATTTGTTAACGTTATTACATCCATTTGTGTTGATATGACAGCAAACGCATGCTGAGAAATTCGGGGGGCGTGGTTGATTTTACATAAAGCGTTTGATTGGAAGCTCGACTCTGCTCATTTTCGCGGCTCCTCCTCTGGCTCCATCAGACAATCCTTCTGCGCATGTCAAGGCTCCAATTTCAGCAGTCTTTTGCGACAGTTTGTGCCCGTCAAGCAGGCGTTTTGCCCTCAAGGCGTTCAATGGGAAAAAGGGCTGT